TCTACTTGTATGTCAGATTTACACTATGCCATAAGCTAAGGTTTCGGATTTTTTTATTTTTTTTATTTTTTTAAAGTAAATACTAACACACTTCTCTCTCTCTCTCTCCTTTTATTTTTATTTTTATTTTTATTTTTATTACATATAATGGAGAGAAGAATAAGAGTCACTTAGATATACAATTATAAAAAAAATTTCTTGGACAAATTAATTCCTCATTTGGACAAGTTTATACGTTCTTTTTTCTTTTTCTTCTTTTTTTTTCTTGTTTGTTTGTTTTTTCTTTTTTTAAAAAAATTTTCATATCCTTTTAATTTGATGTTAATATAATATGCCATTAATTATAGACAACAAAGAAGGGAAAATATATCTACTTTGAAAATACTGACTCAGGCCATTACTTAACACTTAAGTATATATACATATGTATAACTCTCTCTCTCTCTCTCTATATATAAATTTATCTTTCTTTAGGCATTTTTATAGCCTTTCACATGCAACTGAACTGAGTGGCTGAATATTTTAAAATATATACAGTATATTTTTTCCATATATAAATTGAAAATTTCATGTTGAATATGATAATAGAGAAAGATTCATGAGCTTTCTACATCTTACACACACACACACACATATATAACTATATATATATATATATATAAAGTAATGAATCAGGAGATGAAAGGATACATAGACATATAAAGGGTAAAGGGATGAGAATGGCTAGCAACATCATGTAGGACTGGTCCTTTTCTCGACTTTAAAACTGATTCTCCTTCCTCCTAAAGAAAAGTGCGGTCCAATTATTTTACATGTAATGTTGGCATGCTATTATAGTTAAAGGGTAAATTGCACTGACACTTCAGGTTTAAGTTAATTAAAGATAATTATCTATAATTTTTGTACTTTTTGGACAATGACATCTTAAATTTGGTAAACTAGTTCTCATAAAAGTTTGCACTTATTCTTTAACTTTTGAATTGATCTATATAAATTATTAAATTACCTTTATAACCTCCTACTAATTAACCAAAATAACCCTCAAGAATGAAAAAAGGAAAAAGAAATAAAAGCCATTAACACCACTTGACAGCCTCATCATTATTTGACCAATCTATACAGTGGTCTTCCAATGTTTAATAAAATGATTAAAACTAATGAAAGCTCTTAGGGCTTCCCTTTCTTCTTTTATTATTTTTTACTTTTTAATTTTTTTTAATAGTAGTTTTTATAACACGTACAATGTTGATTTACCAACATTTAATTTTATGATATATAAAAAAAAATAAATATAAAAAGAAAAAAAAAAAAGAAAATTTTGTTACGAACTGACTCATTATATCACCAGTTTTTTTTTTTTTTTTTTGGATTTTAAAGCTACTAAAATATATTAATAAAAAAGGAAGAATTTACAATGTGGGCCAATAGGCCATGACGTCCATTTGGACCAAGAAACAAGCCCAAGAGGGCCAACAAGAGAGAAACCCAACCCAAAAACTAATAACCTCAATTAACAGTTTAAAGAAACTGGTAAAGGAGGGTGTTAGTGAGCGATCCGGTAAGACCAAGCAAGGAGCTCAACTCCGGCGAGAGCTAGTCCGGAGGCCTTGGAGGGGGGCGACAGTAAGATGGAGACACGTTCCAGTCGGAGAGGATTCTTCTGGACCTGAGCATTATTTAGAAATCCCAACTTCAGAATTGAAGACATAGTGGAGCAAATTTTCCGGAGGACGATCTTCTGTGTAGAGTGTTTCTGCTTGAAAACCCTTTCATTCCGTTATTCCCAAGTGTGGTATACCATGGCTGAGAAGCAAATCTTGCGAATGAAGTTCATAGGAGTCTTCCTTTTCCAATTGCTGTTGATCCAAGATATTAAGGCTTTTCAATTTGTGATTGAAGGGTGGAATTTGCATTTGAACTTAAGGAACCTTCAAATTGGGGAGATGAAACAGCAGTTGATGAACAAATGATCTTGAGATTCAGGGCTGTTGTGACAAAGAGAACACGAGTTATGGTGTTTTGCCATGGATTTGCAATCCAATGTTGGGAGCCTACCTTGCACTGCCAACCATAAATTAAACTTCATACGAGGGATTGTAGGGGAGTGCCAAACAAGACTGTACCATTATATCACCAGTTAATAACAAACTTGATTAGCTTTTGAAATGTCAGCATGGTCTTATTGGACTATTGATACCTAATTTGATGCCCAGGGCGACGCCAACCCACCCATCGCCCTCCTATTCCCCATTCACTTTCTATATATATATATATATATATATATATACACACACACACGTATATATGTATATGTATAAAAGGAGATGATGATGATAGAAAATGACATTATCTAAGGACGTCGACAATGGGCAAATAAAAATAAAAATAAAAAATAAAAAAAAAGTAAAAGATAAAAATAGAAAATAAAAAACAAAAAAAAAGTGCAAACTAAAAAAAAAAAAAGATTATTTCAAATTCCAAAAATCAATGCACAATAATATTGGGGATTTTATTTATTTATTTATATTTTTTTGTGTACAAAAAAAAAAATAATAATAAAGAATTTTTTTTTTATTTATAAAAGAGTAAACTGAAATCTCAAAAAATTAAACTCCTTATTCTACAAATTCTCAAAGTTTAAACAAAGATGTTTAGAGATATATATAGAGAAATTTTTTTTTTAAATATATATATATATATATATATATATATATAAGGTAATGTGCATGTAATACTCCTATGCTATGAAATTAGTAGCATATATGCCTCCTTGGACATTTTCAGAAGAGAAATAAGGAAAAACGGGTATTACAACATTAATTTATGTTAGAGGGGTATTTTTGCACAATATGAAAAGATTATGGGTGTTTTTTGCACACTTTTTCAAATAGGTGTAAAAGTGCTACACAAAATATATCCTTCACTTGTCCCTATATAATATACATATGTATATATATATATATATATACAAATTGATTATATATATTAAAAATTTTAATTTTGTTTTTATCACTTGGTTGTGCCAGCGGTGGTCGGCGGAGAAGGAAATATAAGGGCGTAATGGAGGAGATTAAAAGGTATATTGACTAAAGGGTATTTTGATCATTTCTTTGAGCTGATATTTTGGTCCAAAATATAATATTTTATTGAGGGGCAATTTAGACATTTCATATTGCTTTAAAGGTAATTGACGTGTGACTGTTTAATTTGAAAATTTTGGAAGGTGCCATTGTCAGAAAAAAGTACTAAAGTTGTAGATAACATTTAACCCAAACCTGCGTATAGTGCAATTTACCCTCATCTTATATTTTTTCTAGTGTCCCAAAAGATTTTTTATTTTTATGTTATTTGTATGATGGGTTAAATGTACTCCAAAATTATTAGAGCATTTTTAATAGGCTCTCTGAATTTAGGCTCTCTGAATTTGCTACATCATCATTTTTTAATAGCCACGTTAGCATTTCCCATAACCACATTAGAGTTTTAGAATTTCTAAATTTTAGCTATCGGATGTACTTAAATGGTACATTTTCGCTCTTCAAAAATATTAATATTTTTTAAATTTGTAATAAATTTTATTTTTTAACTTTTTCCTAACGGCTATATTTTTAGAACGGCTATATCATAAAAAAAATTTTAAATAATACAATATTTATTATTAAAAACAATACGATACTACAAAAATTTAAACAATACAATATTTATTATTAAAAACAATACGATACTACATAAATTTAAATAATACAATAAAAATAAAAAACAATACAATACGACATGAATTAAAAACATAACAACTAGGAAAAACAGGTTTTCAAAAAATAGGTTTTTGTGCCAATATAGTCGTTAAGGCTTTGTTTAGGTCAGCCAAACAGTGCCTAAAACGGCTATATGTCAGTAGGAATATTTTAAAAAGCAAATTTTTTAAAAAAAAGCATTTTTATCTATTTTTTTTAAACTTTTTTTTGCCCAAAAAAGCCTTTAAGGCACTGTTTGTGTCAGCCAAATAGTGCCTTAACGGTTCTTTGGTTCAATTATTTTGAGGAAAAAAGAAAAAGAAAAAAAAGAGACCAAAATCAGCCAAAAAACTAATTTTTTTCTTTTTTTTTTTTTAGACAAACATGCCCTTAGGAACAATGTTTTGGGCTAAATGTCAGTTTTGGGCCAGAATAAAAAAATTAAAAGAAAATGAATGCGGGCCATTCCGCGATCCATTGGGTGGGGCCCAATTTTTGGAGACTCCATTGGAGCAGTCCAATATACAAACCTGGCCCAAAATCGACGAATTTTTGTCCATTGGACCTGCTCTAATAGAAAGTTTTGCTAATTTCTAATCTAACATTCCTAGCATGAAAAATAAAAATAAAAATAAAAATTTACACTTCTGGGCTGCAAGCCCTTTGGTCCAAAGGACCCTAAGTGAATTTTAACCTTGTTCATTTAAGATTTCTTAAAATATACAAATATTATTAGACATATCTCAAATTCTTGATCCAATTTACTCGTCCCTCGATTTAACAAAGAATCCCCATTTCAACAGTCTTCGTTATATTTTGCAGTGAAAGCAAAATGCATCGGCCCGGCGCTTGCTATTGGCTTGACAACCTTAAGTTGTTCGACGAATTTTTTTTAAGACGCTATCCATTTGAGCCAAAACCTTAAGTTGTTAGATGAAATTTTTTACCCACTACCATATATGAGGCCATAACCTTTCCCATTTGAATTGTGCCGAAGTATAATCAAGCAAGCCAAAAAAGGAAGGAATCCCAAAATGGATTCATTACAGGAATACAAACTTTATCACATTTCTTCTTCATTATCATTCTTAGATACTAAATTAGTAATGAAAAGACAAATTAAGAATTTTGGATTGTTTTTGAGACTACTACCATCTTACTTAAATGGTCCCCATTCAAGAATGATTTCTTACAATGAAATGCTACGGTTTTACCGTGAATGAGATACTCAAATTCAGAAGATGATCAAAGCATATAAAATGCATGTTGAGAAAGAAAATGCCCCATCCAATATATATATATAAAGTTCTCAATAGCATAATTAAGAACCACAGGAAAACAAGAAAATGAAATTCACAGTGGTGAAGCAGTAGAGCATTCGTTTATAAATTATAAATGAATTCAAGAGCCACTTGATAGCGTTTTAAACAACATATCTTCCATGTTTGGATTATTGATCATTTGCTGCAGTGGCTTTCATAAGGCACAATAGAAAAACAACCAAAAGGAAAGTGTAGAAAAATAGCCTATAGATATGATGGTAGTCTATTGCTCATCAACTAAATCAAAATAAGAGAAGCTGTAAAAACAAGGAAGATACAGTAAAACATCAGTTAATGCTACAAAATGAAACTGATTACCCCGTTGCTCTTAGGAAATGCTTCGTAAACCCTGAGAGCAGGAAATAATATGAATCACGAACAAAGAGGTTGTGTTGCCTTAGTCTGATTCCCTCAGGCTTTCGCTTGTCAGCCACAGCTTCTTTTGGATGACAAAGACAAAGTCATCCCCGTCCTGGTCTGAGTCCGAAGAGGAATCAGCCGTTGCCACTGCTTCCCAGTGCAATGCTTGTAGATACCTTTTCACAAACTCTATCACTGGTTGTTTGTCCCGGATAATAATAAAACCTGTAGGCCTGAGAATGCGATCCATCTCAATCAGCAGATCCTCAGCACTACAGCCTTTCTTCTCAATGTCGGAAAACACAGTCCAAGCATGGAGTAGATCGTAAGTCCGGGGGTATGTTGAGAAGGCTTCGCACCTATGTACAAATCATCGAGTGAAAATTTTCAAAATCTATAAACTTGATCCAAGTTCAATTGAGAAAGAAATGCACCATTATTTAGGTGAAGCTATCTAGGATGTGAAAATTCAGCAAATGAAACTTGTTATCAATTTACAAAATGAAATATGGTTCCAGGAGTTGCATCAGAAACAATTATCACCAGGATGTGGTAGAAAACAAGGCATCATTTAACTAGGCTTTCTAAATTCTTACTTTCAATTCCTCGATATCTCAAGGGCACATAATAATATAGCTCCAACCCCTCACAGGGATGCTAACAACAAGAACAACAAATAATTATTAAGGACTGTTTAGTTCAGTTCTCTTAAAACAGCTTTCAAGAATTCTGAGAATATAAATTAATTTTCAGAGTATTATAAAAGAATTTTCAACAAATTACACCTTTTTTAGCTCGGTTTTCAGGGAACTGTCAACCAAATGAATTTTCAAACTATATTCTATTTCAGTTATTAGATAATGTTCTCAGAAAACTAAACCAAGCAGCCCATAAACCTCTTAGAATCTATTTTGTTGGGAAATAGCTCCTAGGACCAGCAGGAAAAATACGTTTGTCCTGAGTTGGAAGGACAGAATTACATTAAGATTAAGGTTCATGACAAGTTGAGCTACATACCAGTTGTGAACTGAGCCAATCAGGCCCCTATCATACACCAACTTGAGTGTGTTTGGTCCATCCTCAGGGACAACATTCATCACCCAAACATCTTTGTCCTTCAGAGCAGCTCCAAATGACCCCAGATTTGCTTTCATGTCCATCAAGTTCCGTAGAGTGTCAGATTTAATTTTTGGACTTAATAGATTCCAGTAATTCTCAACCCTCCGACGCCAAAGTTCCTGCATAAAGCCAGCAATATTTAAACTCCGTTCAGTTCTTTCTGTTTCTTCATTGCACATGATTTGCAAAGGCAAACAGCACTGAATTACGAGCAAACTAAAGATGCAGAAGATAAGAGTATGCCTCAGATTACCGTGTCCTTTTCAAACATTCCAGTTGAATAGCCAAAATCAGCGAGACGGGGAGGAGCAGCAGTTGATCGAGCTGGCCAAGGAGCCAATCCACTTCCCCCAGTGCTGTGGTCATCTGAAAAGAAGAACGAAAATATTAGGTGTACAGTATTCTTTCACTTAATGACATCACAAAAGGGCCAAACATATATTTTTTCAATTAGTATTGCAGATAAAATATAAGGGATCGTAGTTCAATCTATTTAACTGGCTGGTGCTGAATAGCTTGCGTTACAGGCCAGATTCACTTAATGTGAGGAGTACACAACTTGTATCAAAAGGGATACAAGACATGCCACACAATCCAAAAAAAAAAAAAAAACGAAGATTCAAAGCTCTAAAACGAAACTGAAAGACTAACAACTGTTGGAACCAAAATCTGTATTAATTTTGAATTATTTATATGTGGCAGACCTATTCCTTAGATTCATGAGGAACATAATGTAAAATTTGATCGTAAAACAAAAGTTGCCTCCAACATATTCTATAAAGTGAAAGCCTTCTAGGTTAAAAACTGAAGATGGTGATACTGCTATGTGAAGAGTAAAAAAAATCACATTTTACAACACAAACAATAATAAAGCAACAGCCAAACCAAACACTCCATACGGTTTAGATATTTTATCAATATGAAATGGAAAGGCAACTCATTATATTTGCCGTGTCGACACAAAGATTTTCCGTGACTTTCCATTGAACAAAATATTAAAATATCAGTAATTATTGAAACCTTACAGGTAAAAGAGCAAAAGCCTGAAAGGCAGATGGTGACTGAGTCACACTGACCCAGAAAAAATTTTCAATAAAAAGGACGGGAGGGAAGGAGTCCAACAACCCATAACTCATTCACAGATAAAATGGAAAGACATGGGGTAGAAATGATGTGGAATGGTGTGCGTATATGCCACTGAACCCAAGTATTAAGTACGTAAAACAGTCAAAAAATCAGAGCATAGAGAGAGTACAAAAATCCCAATTAAACCATAGGCTAGTGGAGTTCACTAAAGAAGGTAAAGTGTTAATCGCTATAGATTTCCAATCTAATTTCTCCCGTCTGCCATACGGTCTGGAAATTAACTCTATAAATCAAAATACTCACCATAACCTACCCTTAACTCTGAATTTTCATCTTTCTATAAAAGAGTTCAGATTTAGTTTCAGAAACAACTCTGTCCACTGAATATGGTTATTAGGAAAAAAGCTCAACAATTATTTATTGACTAAAAACTAGATTTCTTACAAATAAATTGATGCCAATGCACCGAAAGATGTTTTTAAGCAATGTTAAGCTAACTAGGCACCTAAACCTTCCAATTTAAAATAAAGCAATTTTGACCATCTCCTCTAACAATGTCGTTCAGTCAGGGGAACAACAATTATGACGAGCGATAAAAGAGAAAAACACTTACGGTCAGAGTAAGGGGTAATGCATGGTTCCATCGGCACACCCCATGCTGCGTCTGGGTCATTATCAGACCGGCAGAGAGGAGGTTGAGTACCAGGCTCTCTTTCCAAATAACAATCATTTGTTAAAGGTTTAACCCAAATGACAGTTTGGTTCCTTTTGACTGCTATTTTCCAACACATGCGCTCCACAAGTGCACTCATCTGTCTCCATATTCTAAGATCCTCTTCATCTTGCGCATATGCTTCAGGAGATGAGTAGGCAAAATAGCCTCCTGGTCTGAGCACCCGATCTAACTCGAGCAGAAGAATTCCATCCCTTTGAAGCCAGTCAATCCTACAACGAGAACAGTGAGCAAGTTCAAAAGATCTGCTTGGATAAGGAAGCCTCTTTGTCCCCAAAACTCCAAGATATGCAGGAATTCCTCTCTCTAGAGCAAACTGGATCTGATTTTGATGCACGTCATTAGGTGCCAAGGACATTGTTAATATATCAGAAGAAAGAAGATAAGCTCCAAAACTTGCAACACCGCAGCCAACATCAAGAACTGTCCGAAGCCTTCCCTCGTTGTTTAAATTATTTTTCGAAAAGTTGAGCATCTGCAAGTCAGAACCATAAGTATCTTTGTGACGAAAAAAGAAATACAAGAAGTGCATTAACCAAAACGGGATAGACTGATAAACGTAATTCAACTTAACAAAGCCTTTTCCCAAATCCCAACTATACAAGATTAACAGATATAGTTCACACAACATATTCATAATGAACGAGTCATGTTTCATTGGCTAGCTGTTTCTGGTTTAAGGATCAGAAGTCTTACATTTGCAAGTGAAGCGATGTACTTATCTGCTCCGTAATGAAAATGAGTGCCTCCCCCAGGAAACACTATCTTCTCACCTTTTACAACCATCCAGTTTTGGTCAGACTTCTCATGTGCAAGGTGAGTATGAGGTATGTTTGCTTTCCACACTTCATCTCTACTTTTAGGCCACTTGATTGGGATCTGTAACGGTAAAAGAACAACAAATAGTTGGAAATTAACTGAATTCTAACAGAATAATTCAACATCATTTCTACCATGCATAGGTATATTCTCACCTTATACCCTGGTGGTGGAGGAATCAAGCAATTGTATCGCCTCTCGGGTGGAGGGCAATGTCGTTCATAGTGCTCCATCAAAGATAGATCCAACTTCAATCTCATTTGGTATATAAGATTCCTGTCTAGGCAAGGAATTAATTCCGAATGTCGATCATCACAAACCTTCAAAAGCAAAACAAAGCACTAAATATTGTCAATAAAACAAACCAGACACAGAAAACAAATGAACAATGTAGAGGTCAACTTATTCCAAGAAAATGGGGAGGGGGAAGGGGTTTATAATCCTTCTTAGCTATAAAAAAACGTACAGGAAAGCTCTTTGGTGTGATACCATCTTCTCCGTCTTCCTGCCCAAACCTTGTTGAAGATTCATCTTGCTTGCTGCCAAGATCACTATCTTCATCCCCACCCAAATAAGATGACCCAAGTTTCCTCAAAGACCGGCCATACTCTAGAGCTGACTCACCATGATTATGAGAACCAAAATATACATAAAGAAAGACAAGAAAGATTGCCACGACACATACGGAAGTGAACAACCTCTTCTTTTGCCCTCCATCTGATCTTCCCCTCATCATTAATGCAGTTTTGAAATCTTCAAATAGAGCTTCTACTTCACTTCAGTTATCATATATCACAACATGGCTTTCATAGCTATGATGATTGGCAATGAAATCCTACTAAATATTTGGTTCCAATTCCAACAGATACTGACACCAATTTTTTTTCCAGATCTACACAGTTCAGTAATGAAAATAACCTGGCTGAGAAACCTGTGAAGCAAAACCAAGAACCTATCAATATAATTTTTTTTTTTGATAAGTACCTATCAATATAATTTGCAGAGCATGTCATCTACGAAGAATAGTCAAGCAAGCTGTTCAAGTGGAGCTCTATGATCAAACTGATTACTGAGAAAATCTAGCAAAATGGAAGAAATATATGAAACAACAACAAACACCTCCATTGAATTGAGCCTAATACAAGTATATGACTCACTTTAGGAAACATTTTCTTTTAGAATTTAAGATGGAAACAGTATACAAAATTTCTAAACAACAAAACAGACTGCTTAATAAAACCATCAGCCTTAAATTAAACAGAGAATTAATGTTTGATCTCCAAATTTGAGATCCAAACAGATGCAGGATTATTAAATGTCAACCCGAAAACCACAGACCATTTTACCAGGAATATAATTCCTTAAAATCCAAACTGTGATATATATGTGTGTGTTTAATTCCCAATTCCACCAAAGTTATACGGGAATGTAATAGTAACATGATATAGTTTTCAACACAGATTCAACCGAAGAACAGTAGTATGAATAGATAACTAACCGTGTCAAATTGTCAATCAACAAACATAATTTTAGGTGTTATTGATGAAGAAAAAACCATCTTAACAGGGAAAAACAGTGTGAGATACATTATGCGTATAACATCTGATAGCATAAAAGTTATGAAGCCATGGTCCCAGTCAGAAACTACCGACGAGAAGGCATGCATTTAAATTTAGCTCGGCTACCAATAATGTAACCACTTCATTGACAGCCAAGGGTAATAAAACATATCAGAACAAGCAACTTATACTCTGCCGACACTACTTTAACACTGCAGCATAGGCAACATAATGAAAACCACACAATGGAATAGATCAATCAGCGTAATTGAGCTCGATGATCCATTTAATTGCTGCGAAAATGAATGAAAAGGATAGAAATCATACTAAACAAAAAAAACAAAAACAAACACCTCAGCTCAATTTAGAATAATACAGTCATTTGGCTAAACTTATTTCTATCATTAAAGAAATTATATTAAAAAAGCAGATCATAAGATTCAAAATTTTCATTTTCTCACTTCCAAAATTTTTCCAAGAATTAGATTGAACTAAAAACATAATGAAAGCTAGCCAAAAAACTGGAAATTGCATTAATTTATCATCTTTCCAATAAACTTAACTGCAACATACAGAAAATGACAGCTCACACAACTGTGACACACAGATCTATCACAAACAAGAATCAAAAACTACACTTGGCATTGAGAACATATCCATAAACTATCAAATTCAATAAAATTTCACATAAAGTTGACCTATTGAGAACAATGAGAATCAAATCCAACAAATCAACCAATCAGAACTGCAAACTCAATCAGATCCAAAGAAACAGGAATAAACAGGTCGAGAACTTACCGTGATCTGTGCAGATCTGAATCGAACCTCGACAATTAATTGCGATTACGATTCCGATAAACGAATCGAATGAAGAGATGTGGCAGCTACCCCTGGATTTGCACGAAGAGAGAGAGTTTGAGTTCTATGAGGACATGGATAAATATTTCGATGTGCTGAGAGCAGAATATATGCGAGAGAAGAGAGAGAGAGAGAGTGTACTGTTGGTACGTCGTGGTTCGTTAATTATTATTATTATTTTCTTTCTTTTATTCACGTTGCAAATCTAAGATGGTAACAAGTGGTAAAATGGTAACTAAAATTTAGATAAGAAAGGAAAGAAATAATAATTATCGTTGAATTATGAAGAATAAATAAAATTCAAACAATAATTATCATTGAATTATAAAGAAGAAATAAAAATACAATTGAATTACAGTAGAAAGGGAGTTGGATCCTGCTATTATATTCGACGGTTTATAAATTATCGATTAATACTTTTAGACCGTCAGATTGGATACAACATTTAGTGTTACAGAGGATCTCACTTTTTTGAGGGAAAAAAAGATAAACAAACCATACTCATCAATTTAAGTAAAATTAAATTAATAAAAATTATTATTATTTATTATTTTAGACTTTTAGAAAAATTAAATACACTTATTAGATAGTTAGAGGTTATATGATTGCTGCGGTTGTATTCAATTGAGGAAAACTAAGTCAAATAGTTAGTTCTAATATTATTTTCAGCATTAAATTAAATTTTCAATGATTAGTGAGCATTAAATGGATCAACTTTTGTAAGGAGTAGAACTAAACTTTGTAAGCAAAATGAAAGCCATTTTGATCTTGACTCACCCAGTGATGGGCTCTAGATTGATTTTTTGAAAATTATTATTATTTTTCATTTCTAGTTTTCAAAATAAAAAATGTTAATTATGAAGTAATTCACTAGGTTAGGTGGAGGGTATATTAGGTTGAACACTTCATTACACCAATTGGGAAGCAAAAAGTCAAAAGAAATTCTACATTACATTCTTCTATGGTGGCACAACAAAGACTGAACTTTCGAATTGTCGGTGTGGTACTTTATAATAATTTAATATGATTGGGCTGAAATTGCATATCGAGTCCGATTTATAGATCATTCATTGCTAGTACACTTGAAAAAGATGTATGGTACTGGTGGTCCTCGGCCCAGTTCTGGATATCCATTTCATGCTGCTGGACTGGGCCAGCCGAGACCAACAAATATTCAAGGCTCCACACTCCATAGGCAAATGAGACAACCCAAATTAACCCGTCAATCTAGTGATTGGCAAATTCAAACTATGCTGTCTAGGTAAAAGTATTTGTATGATATCGTCGAATTAATTTATGAATTGTTGTAAAAATAATAATAATAATAATAATTTATGAATGGACGAAATTGAAATACGCAATCTACTAAACCGGTGCATGTAATCGTAGTAGAGGTGTTAGCATGACTTTTTAAGAATATATGTTTTAAGAATATATATTTATTTATTAATTTATGAATGGATGAAATTGAAATACGACTCATTTAAAACTAAAGAGCAAATCTGGCTTTGCCTCCGAGATTTGGAAAGAATTAGATATACATGTACACAATCTTACAGTCCACATGCGGAGAGATTACTCTTTAATTAACACTAGATTCTAGTATTAAAATGCATACTAAAATGTTGGAAGAAATATTAAAATTTGAGGCTAGCTTCAGTTGCATTATACCATGTCAGGCTTGTCTTGGTTTCAAACTAAACAATAGTGTGGAATTCAACCCAGGAAGTCATTGACTCATTGGGCTAGAACATCTAGTCCAGTATAATTTGCAGTTGTTACTTTTTTTCTATTTTTTTTTCTCTTTTTTTCATTTTTGTTTGATGTAAATGTAATGACTTAATTACAAAGAAACCAGCAAAGCATATAATTCAATTTTTTTTTTTTTTTGATAGATAAATCACACACATGCACATAAAGATTTAGAACCCTCAACAATCCATTTATGTACCACTTGAACTAAACTCATACGATATAGTCTAACTCATTGAGAAGTGAATTACTCATAATTTGGATTTTTTATTTTTGAATTTTTATAAAAAATGACATGGGACACGCATCATGTGTGTATGATTGACCTGGGTTGAAGTCATTATAAAGTCAGGCATGTTTTTCTCATTTATTTTTTAATATTTTAAAAGATAAGAGAATAAAAACTAGGCTAAAGTAGTCACGCGCCAATTTATTCTCCTAAATACCTGAATTCACACCTTTCACTTTGATGGACTAAAAAAATACCATTAAACCATATAGCGGATTAAAGGCTTCTTGATAGGCATGTTTGTGGTTTATGCTTTGGAGAAAACAAAAAAAAAACCTATGATAAGGAGAGTGATGAGAAAACAAAGAAGAGTTGAAGACGGTGAGAATTAAGCGTGATGACCACGCTCTTGAAATGAGCGTGGTGAAAGTATTCCCTGATAAAGGAACAATAGGAACTGGAGATCACTGACTCATCGACATTGACAAGACGAATTATAATACGGTTGCAGTAGCGCCACGTGGCAATCAAAAATGTCATGAACATGCTTCGGCCCGGACCAAGCGGAGTTTGCCGACACGAACGACAGGTAAGCACGTGGGATGGGCCAGCCGAGCAGATGTCCGTGGGCCCAAACATGGACTTTATGTCTAATCAAAATCCACTGCCGATTAGGTTTTGGCTGGTGAAGACGAAAACACAGAGTAGGCTCTCGTACGCGCTTCTTTTAGTAAAAAATTAGGATCTCAGATTCATGTGAAAATGAAAAAAGTTATGGAAAACGACAGCATTTATAAGCATAAATTTGTATATCCATCTATCTCTATATATATATATCTATCTATACACACACTGTAGTAGTATAGTGTTTGCTCAATACTATCGTCCGATCCATTTTCTTCTTACAGTACAATGTAACCCACTCATGTTTAATATCAATAACTTCACATTTATTTCTTCAAATACTTGAATAGGTATACTTACATATATCCATGTATATAATATTATTCTCTAAAAAAATTTAGGTTTGTTTTATTTCAACATGAATATATTGTACTTTATGTGAATAATTTTGTACGTGTTTCTAGGTGATTTACAATAGACCTATTTGAGTGCGTATGTCTATATTCTAGATTTAGCATCATTAAAATTAGATATTCAGTTTTTTCTTCTTTGTAATAAATGAAAGATATTTAGATTTCTAACTTTATTCACACATATGCATGATAGGTTAAAATAGAAAGAATTAAGTTTCATGTTTAGATAATCTATTTTCTCTAAAATATGTTGGAAATATTATTTTTTATATGAAATTAACCAAATGGCATTATCTGTATATATAGCACGGGTGTCAAAATACGATACACAATAGTGCATATATTTTTGGAAAAAAGTTTTCAACACATATTGTTGATGCGTAAATCCTTCCGACTCGGAACAACGGCGTTTACCTACAAAGGGATGTCACCTCGAATGGCACAGTTGGGGTGTCAGAGATCAAGTTAGTACTTGTAATCGTATCACAAAATAATTATGTATAGTTTGTTTAGGGGTTTGTTTTCGTACATTCTTTAGGTGCCCTATTTATGGCTGTCAATCGTAATCAAATTGGTACCGTGGGTGATCTGCTTGTGCGAGATCAGAGGAGATCGTCAGTGGTTATCCTCACGTCGTCATTCATTATCCTAGATAAGAAATGTCATCATTCTTATCCGATGGAAATCTTTATCTCTGATAATGAAATATGTCGAAGTCCGGCTGGTCAAGGTAGGTTATTTTTCCCTATCATATATTAATTTTCTTTCTCATTTTTATTTCAATAATATAAAAGATTACAAGAAAGTATGGAGAATGGTAGAGACGAGGATTCTAGACTATGAAAGAATTTACACAAATAGGTATATTGTAGAATATTTGAAGACTAGATAATAATTTGTAAATATATATATAGATATTTTAGGTGGATAATTTTAGAAACCAGATCTTTATCATAACGCAGGGTAGTTATTAAGAAGGTGATGGCTTTATATATATACTAGTTTCATTTGTAACAAGTTACAAGGGGCAAGTGTGAAGATGAGAATTTTCGTAACAGATAAGAGAGTTTTGTTCGTTTGGAAAGAATAAAAAGCTGAGAACGATGCTATTGCAAATTTACGAATACTCTTGTTGTTAGTTGATACTTGCTTTTGTACACTCATGCATCTGCGCTCTCTTGTTGTTTGGGTATCCTGCTGTTTGAAGGTCCTGCTGTGATTTCTCGTTCTTCTTGCTTTAAAGGTTACAGAATATTGGTTGCCTTATTTCTGGTGGTCATTTGGGGTCTTTTGTGCTGTAACTTGTTTACGGTATGTCATCTGTGCTATATTTGTATTCTTGTTGATCTTTGGACAACATGTCTTGGCTGTACTTGTTTACTGTATGTCATCTGTGCTATGTTTGTATTGTTGTTGATCTTTGGACAACCCTCTTGTTAGGGATGACAACGGGTGGGGCAAGAATTCCATTCCCTATTTCCATTCCCGATGCATTTTTCATTCTCTATTTTCGCCCCCATCTCCCATGTCCGCTTAAAATTTGGCCAGAATCCCCATACTCCCCCTGGCCCAGCCTCATAATTTTTTTAATTAAAACAAAAACACATTTTTATTTTTATTTTTATATATATAATAAATCTAATTTAGTAATAAATTCTTATATATAAGAGTATATTAATAATTTCACACTTAATCGGGGTGGGACGGGACGGGTTCCCATCGACCGAGATTCATAATTTGCCCACATTCCCATCGGGTCGGGGTGGGACGGGACGGGTTCCCATCGACCGAGATTCATAATTTGCCCACATTCCCATCTCCCTTTAACTAAAAGGATCCCCATTCCAGCTATAAATGGGGTGAGGCCCCGGTGGGATGGAAAATTTGCCATCCCTACCCGTTGTTCTAATTTGGACGTCATGTACAGTTTACTTTAATTTATTTAAAGCTCACCCTTTTTCCCAAAAAAAGTAAAAAAATAAAAAATTACGTGTATATATTTTTTTATTGATGTTATATGCTCGCCAATGGTGAAATGTACAGAATTTTAAATTTTCACATAAAATTATTCATTTAGTCTACTTTATGAAAGTATAATCAATTCTGGTAAAACACTCCAAACCATTAACACTACTAAAAATAGAAATTAGATTTTTTACATCTAGAACTTTAAATAGTTTAATATCCCCTCGCTGCTGGTATTAAATGAAAACCTATAACTTTTCTTTAGTACCCTCCGATTTTATTAATTCTTTTTTATTTATTTATTTTTTAGTTAAACAAATCATATTTTATTGTTATTTTATATCTTTGTGTAATCACAACTCAACTCGCAGGTTTAATGAGCTTAGTAAGCGCAAATTGCAAGTGAAGAAATGGCTTCCCTCAAAATAATAAAAGGAAATGAACAATTTTTTTTTTTTTTTTCTTCTAAATTATCAGTTTTAATGGGATCGGTCTTCATAATTAGTGTAGTACAAGTATTTTTACCCTCCAGGCTCTATCAAATATTTTTATGTGAGATTTTTATTTCACATAAAGAATCTTTTGACAGGACATATTTTAAGCACCAGTAACCTTCACATGGTATCCAAGAACTAATGTTTAATGAGTTCATCATAATGACTATAAAAATAAGAAGAAAGACCAGAATCATTAGTACCATCTGAATTTCCCCAAAACCCCAAAAAAAAAAAAAAAAAAACGTTATAGCTCTCCAGCATGCACCATACCTAAGGTGTTCTTTAAAGTAAATTCTTGGCTAAAGGCGAAGGTGAAAAAGTGCTTGGCAACTAAAATCCGCCATATATTATATCTTCTTCTGGGAATCACTTGAACAATGAAACTTCTCCTTCAAATATACATGATAACCTAGCTAGAAGCACACACACAAACACACACACATATATATATAAATCATAGTAAACAAGCTTCAACCAGAAGAAATTTGTTGGTAAAGTTTCTTTTGGGAACCCCTTAATTAATATGGTTTACATTAATTAAATCCCGGGATTGCCCATTATTGGTTGTATAGAAATCTACTTTTGGTTATATGAATTCACTTACTTACCAAAGAGAGATTCTAAGTTCTAACAACATTACTTCAAAATTTTAACGGAAGTACTAGTTCTTCCTTCAAGATTCTTCTGAACAGATTCCCAGACTAAATCATACAACGGAAAGAATATAAACTTTTGAACATAGTTAATACCGATGAAACTAACATGGGATCAAATAATTAGATGTAATTTGTAAATTCAATAGAAAACTGCTTAGTATATAATACATATAGAAAAGAATGGAACAAGAGAACTTATAATGCTGACCCTCTTAATATGAGATAAAAACAAGGAGATGATGAAACAATGCATGAGGCCGGGGCATTCCTTCTTTGGGTTTCGATTATCAGAATGTCGATGACTTTTATATAATAGTAAGAAGTAAATTGAATTCTACAAATTAAGTAGACTAAATTCAATGTAATTTTAATAGCTTTGCATGTAAACTAATCATCCGTATTGAATATATATATATATATATATATATATATAAAGCTCTGATATAGCATGGTGTCCTTTGTATTGAAATTCTATCAAAAACTTCAAAGCAAGAACTACCATAACATAATTAATATCACATAAGTAATTAGACTCTCTTTAGAAAAAAGCTAATAAATCATGAGATCTACTATTAAAATGACCTCAAAACAACTAAGTGCTAAGGGCATGTAGTACTAAATAACTCGTATACACTTTTCCACATTCAACTACATATCTATATTCATTTTACAGTTAATTTAGGTTTTTATGCAAATCACGTGTCTTACTAAGTAACATGACCGAAAATATAGATGAAAAGATGTTTCAGGCAAACAAAATTATAGCATTGAAACAAAAGGAACATTGATAACAAGAAAAGTAATTTAAGGTACTCATAGAGATCAAGCATTTCATATACATGGAGGCCCCTGATCAATCATGAAAACAAATCTTTTAAAATATGATGTAGCACTATAATACCCTCTTGCCAAAAGAAACAAAGAATCCCAACCCCCACCGCCAACAACTAGCATTAAATTTCATGGCGCCAATAGAAAGTGATTTAATTAAATTAATTCTTTTTCTTTTTTTCCCCATTTATGGGTCCCTTTCTTCATATCAAAATCGTACTACATTAACCAAAATGATTAGTGGTAGTGGGATTAGATCCTTTATATGTCATATAGTGATCATTTTAAATCTACAAAAAGCAGAAAATCTAGATTAATCATAAGAGAGCTTCCCTAATCCAAACTTCTACATACTAAAATCTAGAGATTTCAAGAAAAAAGAAAAAACAAATTTAATATATATCTAAGAAGCTAATACAGTATCAGCAAATCATGGGTATCAATAGTTTATAATGTAGATGGGATGTCTTTCAATTTATAGAATACACAGACTATTTTAGTATTTTTGGCCTTACACAGCATGTAGAAATCATTTAAATTAAATAAGAGTGTTTTCCTGGATAGCAGCAGCGGAAATTGGTCAGGTTTGGGATGGTAGGGTTTGTCTTCTTTCCTTGATATGGATCAAATTAATAGTAGCCTTTAGTGAAGACTGAAGACCTAACCGGAGTTCATGTGAATGTACTTCACTAATTTAATGCTATCTCCTATTTGGGGGACATGTAAGACTGATATGACACAATAGAGAAATGGGTGGTGGATTTGTATAATAAATGTGTTGTTATATAGTGTACTAGTCAAAAAGGAGAGATCAAATGAGAGAGATTCAATTAACCAGTAATATTAATTATTAATAATAATAGGAAGGACAAATGAGCTAGCTTTGTTTTATGAGCACTGGCATGTTATATGCAGTAGTACACCCTCTCCTTTTCCAATGGACTTGGTTCATAAATGAGATTCAGTATCATCACAAACTCCATTTTGTTAACCTAATCTAGTAATACTGTAACTGAAAAGATCAAACATTTAAGGCTTCTTCTGAGCTTTTCAGAGTGAATGAAAGCACAATGGAAAAAGAAGAGAGAAAAAGCAAAAGCTCATCTATATTTGCAGTACTATACACAGAAGCCAGAATAAACAAGTATTGATTGGATGCTATGCAAAACTGACATATCTGAACTTTGAGAAGTTAAGTCACCCTTTTTTGCTAAAGCTGGTTCATTTGTCAATGCCCATTAAAATAACTAAAAGAACATAAAGAAGACATCAAATTTGATATATATATATATATATATATATATATATGCTAATCTATTACTACTACTCTAGTTGTCATAAATAACTTTCCAATTAAGTAGCAGTACATGTCTATGACACAGTTTGGAAGTTCAGTCTCATAGATCTTTACTAAAACTAGCAGATCCACTACCACTTCTACAATACTAAAACTACCCATTTTTTTTTTTTTTTTTGGCATTCATATAGCAACAACAATGGGTACTTACTACTACTTATCGTCACTAGTTCAATAATACCCACAAATCTAAAGCAACATAAACAAAGGCTAGCTTACATGTATTAATTAATATTATGCTAGTTTAGATCATAGAGAGAGATCATGATATAAATGAGATTCACCAACAAATCTCACATAAATTCTCCGCCAAGTAAGATACCAGACCTCGAGCCCTGTCCAAAAGGTTGAAGTACAGATAGACTCCAGACCCGAACAGACTTGCAAGAATCGATATTCTCACAAAAGAGTAGTTGATTAATTATTATGATAGAGTAGTGCATGCTTCAGACTAATTTGCACCTGGTGGTGGCAATGCTGGAGGCTGCTTCCTCTTCTTCTTGGCATAGCTAATCCCTCTTGCTTTGGCCTGCGAATCGCGGACTTCACGTAGATAGAGCCTCACTGCTCGAGCTCCAAAGGGGTTGGCTTCCGGGCGGCCACCGTTTTCTTCGTAGGCGGCTCGGAGGCGGCCGATGAGGGCATCCAGGCTGCCCCAGGCTTGGCGGAGAGGGCAGGGGCAAGGGGCAGGAGGGTTAGGGTGTCCGAAGAAGGGGCAGAGTTGGGTGTGGACTTTGGTCTTGCCGAATTGATCGAGGTAGCGGAGGAATTCGAGGACGTGTGCACCACTGCAGCGGGAGAGAGAGAGTGGTGGCCGGTGGTTTCTCAAGTACTGGCCGAAAGTGTTCCAGTCTCGCCGCTTTTGGTTCTCGTAGCGGCTTAGGGTATTAGTAGATGCTGTTGGCGATGACGATGAAGCTGTGGTGGTCATGGTGGTGGTGGTGGTGATGATGGCGGTGGTGGTGTTGTCAGTGGTTGAGGTCTCTCCTTCTGGGATTGAATCCATGAAAAGTGTTTGATATTTTTCTTGAAAACAGATGTGGTTGATTTAGCTGATCAAGTACTAGTTTTATTAGTACTCAGAGATCATCAAAGATAGATGAGTGAGAAAGAGATGATTGAAGTCCAAAATATATAAAGATGATGGATTTCTGGAGAGAGAGAAAGATGGATTTCTAGAGAGAGAGAGAGGGAGGGAGAGGATGATGTGGGATGATAAGGGCTCAACCTCGTTATGCTTTCTGCTTTAAAGCATTGTTTGAGCAATACTAGAAAACCATGAAAGGGTATCTATATATCATGTTTGGTTGGCTTTTATGGGCTGTGTGTGTTCTGAAAATGTTTAGAGAGATTGGCAGATATTTTCCTAAAAATGGGGAGGCAAACTAGTAGTATATAGTAATTACTAGCTTGTTTGTGATTCAGAAAGAGGTGGTAATTGGTCAGTGGGAAGGAATTGAAGATATATAGTTAGGGCTTTTCTTTAATTTGTGGAAATGGAAAGAGGGGTTGGATACAGTAAGGTGAAGTGATGGATGGTGACAACATAAAAAGCTGTTGGAGTTAAAATATATATATATATATATCTATATGTGAAGGAATCAACATAATTTTGTTTCTTCACCAATTTGATTACCTTTTGCATTGATTGACAACACCTTCTCTACAATGACCTAAATACCCACTCGCTACTGTTTTCTCATATGGGAACTATCTTCCAACTAAAAGCTCACACTGAAGGATGAAGAAATTGTTTATCAATCTAGCACGCTCTTTGGACACATGGCATGCTTTTTTAAATTTTATTAATATATATAATTCATTAAGAATTATTGAGAAGAAAATTCAAAACTTAATATGTCTTGTCACATAATTATCCAGTGGATCCTACAATTTACAACTTTGTGAGACACTCGTTACAGGTAAATAATATTGTTACCCTCATTAAAATTTTAATAATGGAGCTCCAAATTGTATAAAAGAAAAAAGGGATTTGGTAGCAATACTATAGCTAATTGAATCAGTACTTTTTTTTTTTCCTCTACATGTATAGGTTTTTTTGCTATTATATTTTTGGAAGTAATTTTGTAATACCTCATTGTTAATTTGAAAAATCAAATTATGGGCTGATCTTAAACCTTCAAATTGTCAAATTATGGATATCCAACTGTGCGCCAGACAATGACATTGTAAATTCACGAGTTCAAAAAATATCGGTTTTTTTTTTTTTTTTTTTTGGTAAAAGAAAAAAGTTAATTGTACCATATAACTTGTCACGGTGGCATCATCACAGAATCGGAAAAGAGAGAGTTGATGTTTAGAGTGGGTAAGTATATTTGTGTTGTCTGGGAAAAGAAAAAAAAAGGTTCATATAATTTGTGGAACAGCTAATTTTGATGTAACTGACGTTAGGATTCAAATCTCACTTATTTATTAAAAAATGAACTTAACATCGAGCTGAATATAGGTGCATGGAGAAATTATCAGAAAATGATGTACTAAGCAATTCAGTTCAATCAAAAGAAAAGTGAATCTACAAAAGTCTAGAATATAATATAAAAGAATTTGGATATGAGTCTTATATATATATATAATTAAATAAAAATGTGTGTGAAAATGATGTGGATGTGAGTTTTGATTGAATTAGATAACCAAGTTGCTTATGATTCTCGAATATCTAATGATGCAAAGTTTTTTTATTTATTTTGTTTTGGTTCTCTAATGTATGTGTGTCTATAGATTAATACAGAAAGAAGAAGAAATTATTCTAGATTTTAGGTAATGATTTTTTTGCATATCCATATTTAGAATTAGATAAAAGCAACACTTCTAATGCACACAATTTGTTATTCTTGCAAGTCCGTCCTCTATATAGCATATTTGGACTCTATATGAGAAATATTGAAGACCATCATGCTTACAAATAAATAATAAGTAATCGCAATGGTGCAAATCTGAGCTTGAAAGTAGTCAGTACGGAGTAAAAAATAAAAAATAAAAAATTAGGCTTATGAAACCAAAAATGAGTAATCTATTTTATGTATCTTTATTATAACAATATATACATGTATGAGTATACAAAATAATGAGTTGCACGAGAGTTTGTCCCTAAGATGATGGGTGTTGTGAATTGTTGCTTTCATATTTCCGTGGAAGAATCAAAGTTACTGCAGATGAAAGACTCCTGCGACTGGCTTCAATCAGATGAATAGAGAGATGGTTTATGTCATGCATTCATGGGTTGAAGAGATGTAACAAAATGTCAAAAACCAGTCATCACCGAGAGAAAACTTTTATCGTGCTTGGATAACACATATTTATGCGTGTGTATATATGCGTGTGTGTGTATGGGCTGGACATGGATGGCCAACTTAAAGTTAAAGAACGATATTGATTTCTCAGTGGTCAATGCCTAACTCAGTTGAAACGATTGGACAATCGTTGGTTCGAGAAGTGACAACATTTTTTGTCTTGTTTTAAGACCTGATCATCTCGAAAGTAGTTCAAACCATCAGTGTAATTAGGAGGTCAAGCAAGGCTTAACCAATTTCTGCATTCCCAACCCCACCCCACCCCACCCCACCCCACCAACACACACACACACACACACACACACACACACAGAGTTATGTAAATACTCACCTTCTCTTCTTGAGAGGTTGTATATCCCATATTGATACGTTTAAGTTTAATTAGACCTTTCAGATTTATGAGTTGGCTTTACAATTTCAGATAGGTTTTACAAAATATGTATAATTTGATGGAACATCACATAAATAAACTTAAATGTTTTTTTCTTCACAAATATCCTTTTCAATTCTTATGGAGACGCTAAATCATTCGCTCATGATTTGAAAGGAGAAGAGATGCCACCGGCTTTAAAAAAGAGAGAAAATATTTATAGATTACGTAAGTTGATTTGATACAATTTAAATAGGCAGGTTTCTTGGTATATTAATTATTTATGTTTTTTTAGTTATATGATTTTTTTTTTTAGTTAAAAAGGTCCGAAGGGGGGAAAAACAAAAAGGAACAACAACTCCAGGAACAACATCTCCTTTTGCAACTACAAAGGAAAACAAAAGCATAATATCAAAGACAATATCAGCCAAAATATAAGGCACCCTCTCTAACCTTCAACCATGGTAGCATTAACCATGAACAATCATCACCATTGCTTAGGATAAGGGCCAGAGATGTCCACTAGATGTGGAGCAGCCCTGCTGGAAGAGTGTCTGTAGCTGTGAGGGAGAAGAGTTCAACTTCAATTCTAAACTATTCCTGAGCTTGAGTTATATGATTTCATATCCAAAAATTTCATGAATGTTTTTATTTGAAATGTAGGTTTTACAAAATATGTATAATTTGATGGAACATCACATATGAAATGAATGTTTTCGTTAAAGTATGCAATTCACTTACCTAATAGGAAATCATATTTGAAATGTAGGTTTTACAAAATATATATAATTTGATGGAACATCACATAAAAGTTTTTTTCTTCGCAAATATCCTTTTGCAATTCCCACGGAGACACTGAATCATTCGCTCATGATTTGAAAGGAGAAGAGATGTCACCAGCTTTAAAAAAAAAGAGAGAGAATATTTATAGATCACGTAATTTGATTTGATACAATTTGAATAGAAAAGTTTCTAGGTATATTAATTATTTATGTTTTTTTAGTTATATAGTTTCATATCCAAAAATTTCATAAATGTTTTTATTTATTTATTTATTTTGATAAGAAACTCAAACGCTAAGATACATATATGATATATAGAGTTGAACTCTCTATATTTCTTTAGAAGGTAAAAAAATACAACATGCATACACACGTAAAGCTTTCATTGCCTTTACTCTTTGGCAAATGAAACTTGGTCATGGTACATAAGCTTTCTTTTTACGTTTTTCTTTCCAATTTTGTACTTGTATGACTATTTAGCCCGCAATACGCAAGAATCTCCTTCTCTTTTGCATCAAATTAAAATGCTCTATAAACATAATTTTGTATACAAAATCTCTTGATGTATGGCTGTGACATTTTAAAATTACTAGGCATATATGTTGATGATGCTTTGTTTCAATTTTTTTTTTGTTCTGGAATGTTAAAAGTTAGGAAGCACGAATATGGACACGGAATATTAGTATGACACGATATAAACACGGTGATACAGTAAATTTTTTAAAAATAGGATATGGTTACATCAAAAAAAAATTTGATAATAAAATATTTTACTCTATATGAAAACAATCATTTTGTTTCATTTTATTCAGTAATTATGAATGAAAAAATGTTTGCTATTTTAAATTTTATATTATTTTTCTTATTAGTCCATAACATAACTAATATATTTAAAATTGCATTGAATTTCATTCTTAAAAAAAAAAAAATTAATTACAAAATAACCCTGTTGTGTTCAGGAGTGTCCAAAACGTGTTCTTATTGTGTCTCAGTCGTGTCTAATCAGAAAATAAAATATTAAAATTTTAAAATACTTCTAGTCGTGACTGACACATGTCTGAATCGCGTTTAAGAGTCCAACACCGCCACGACACCCCTAAATAGAGTGTCCGTGTTTCCTACGTTAAAACAGATTGTACACACTTACAATATGTCCCAAATAAGGCTCAAATACTTGTCCTTATCCATCTTTGCAGTGCATAGCAAGAATAAGCACATGAACCTCAGTCTTAACATAGACGAGATCATAGCAACTGGATTACCGAAATTTGATGAAGCGCATTTTATATTTTATATGCGAGAATCTACATATACATATATTGCTTTTATAGGAATTCTCTCTTAGGGAAAACAATATCACGATATTATCAAAGAGTATGAAGCCATTTTCTATTTTCATTAAAAAACATAATTATAATGACTCCTTGGGTTATTAATATGGGTGGGACTTAGGTGGGCCTAACCTAAGCAACCCGATTCCCGGGCTCGATAGTTATAACGGAATGGGCAAGGTCATTGAGACCATTAGATGAAACTAAGTTTAAATTTTAGAGTCCAAATTTATTTTATGCGGAATTTGGACAAAGATTTTAGTAAAAAGAATCCCAAAGAACCAAAACATAAGAATAATTTAAAACTTTTATACAAGACAACAAGTAAAATAAGGTTATATTTAAATTATTTATGGTATGTCAATCATGAGTAACTTTATTACTTTTAACACGTTTATTTTTATAAAGTAAAAATCTATAGTAATTGAATTTTAGTTAAGGAAACAAAATATTAAAGAATATTACTATTGAGTTTTTTTCAAGTTTTTATTATGGGAACTTTTTGGATCTTGTTATCTATATTGAAACTTGGAATGATTGATATACCTTTTTACTAGAAATTATAAATTATTGCTATAACATCATATTACACATAATTTGGTTGTTTTTTTTCAAACAAAGAGGTTTTATTTTTCCCACGTCAACAAAAAAGAAAAAAAAAAAAAAAAGAGGTTTTATTTTAAGTAAAGTTTATGTCACTATATACTTTAACATTTTATTTCTTACAAATTTATTTATTTATAGGTTATTAAAATTTGAGATGACCTAAGAAACTTGAAAAATCCGTGTGGTATGATGTGAGTTGAAATACATGTGAATTGAAATACAATGAATTTTTCGAAACTTGAGCTTATCGCGGACCAAAATTTTAGAACCTTGAATTTGGTGTCCGCTAATCTCTTGACCCGCCCAAATTCCATCCCTAATTATTAATTCGATTTACTATTTTAGTACTCAACATGAAAGATATCTTTGCCCACACAACGCATTGAACGCATTGGAAGTAACATCAATTGACAGGAACAACTAAACATACCTCTATCTTGTGTGTGGTTATATCAGCATGTATATTCGTCATGAATTATTGAATTGAGCATGGCACATGTGATCTATCAATATCAGATCTATCAATATCAGAATTTTGTGATCACATTTTCTCATTTCCTTTTCTTTCTCCTCCAAAAAAAAGTTTGATAGAACATATCTCCTACATGAAAATCAATTTCCTAATACTTACTTTTACTTGATTTAGTACAAACAAACCAAATCTCACAGATTGTTGTCAAAAGAGTTCATCTTTAAACAAGCCCTAGTGAATCATGAAATTTGGGGTCAGATTAGTCCTTTAAACAAAGAATTTAGCTTTCAATTTAACCTAATGAAATCAGAATCAAGATCTAGATAACGGGCAAAAGATCAAAATTACTTACATATTTTCTCTTTAATTCAGAAAAGAAAAGTAGATTACAGATGTGATATTGTCCCAATCTTTTCAAATACGTGAGACATTATGTGCATAAAAAGTATTGCTCTAGATGAAAATGATACGATTTTCGAATCTGAACGCTGAATTTGCTTAATCCGGAAGTGGTTTAAGCTCAAAACAGACAAAAAGATGTGTGGTAGAGTGTAGCTTATTAGGGTTGTTCATTAACAGTTCAATGGAATCTATACTCCATTGAAACAATCAACCACAAGAAGTTAATGTTTTACCTAAAAGAGGTTGTCACTGATTGCGTCCGTACAAATTTATTAACTTTATGATTCCTCTAAATATAATAATGTTTAGCTTCTTGTTTAATATTGTTGAATTTTATTTTTTTCCAAATTACTCTTAAATCAATATAAAGCAAGTTGGTACGGATGCATTGCATTACAAATATTTAGTTGATTCCCACATTATTAGCAACAAGTGTTTAGTTTTATAAAAGGGTTGTCACCACTTACATTAGTTACAAACTACAAACTTTATTCTGTCCCCAACTTTTTGAAACATCTTTTAGCTTCTTGTTTAATGCTCTTCCAATAGAAATTCCAACTTCCCAACTATCATTTTAAATCAACTGCTGAACATCAACTAGCCAACCTTTTAAGTAAAAAGAGAGAATAGTTCATGCAAAATAAAAAAAAAATAAATAAATAAGTTTTATTCCCTTTTCTATTCAATTCATTGTGTTATTGTAAATGATCATATCATGCAAATGAACATCAACTAGCCAACCTTTTAAGTAAAAAGAGAGAATAGTTCATGCAAAATAAAATAAAAATAAATAAATAAGTTTTATTCCCTTTTCTATTCAATTCATTGTGTTATTGTAAATGATCATATCATGATAAATTTTATTGATTTCTTTTGATATATCTTATGATTGATGTTAATAGGAAAAAAAAAATAAAATAAAAAAACGAAAATCCCTCATACATCATTATTACAACTGTCCCACCAGACTCCTTTTCCCCGAATTTTCTGAGAATTGTCACCACAAGAAACACAAGCCTAACCACACCTTCCTACTCTATTTTTCCTGCTGCATAGATAGGTAGGTAGGTAGGTAGATAGAGAGAGCTTCTTAAACCAAACAGGCCCTCCGTTGAATACATGCAAAAAAGGAGTCTAGTATATGCTTTAATAAATAATGACAGAATTCAACTTGCAAGCAAATTAACTAGAACTAGGATTCAAAAACCAACACTTTTTTCTATAAATACAGATTTCCACCAAAAAATTATGAATATGACATTTCATTGGTTACACAAATGAAAATTTCAATCTTGAGCGTACTCACCACGGCTTATACACAACAAAAGAAGAAAATATTTGTGATATTTACTTACAGAATATATTTCCCCCAATAAACGCAGATCCCAGACATGTTCTAAACTAGTTCAATTGCAATAAATAACAACATATCCATACACAGAGTTCCACAAGTTTGATCATCAGGTAAATCTTACAGTGTGCTTCCTCTCTTGGGGAGAAGCATTGTATTGCCTATATAGTGATGAACGTCAACAAACTTGTACGACGGATGATGATAACCACGAAACTTCAGGAGTCCTACCGTCATATTTCAGAAAAGAGAAAAGAAGTCAGTATATACTCGAGACCTTAAAAGGCATACTCTCTACTTGTAATTATCGACAATCTTATTTTACGTAGCCAAATCTCACTAACCTATAAGGCTTCACCGTATTCTGCTTCAGAAGTTAAACAGCATACAGTCGTATAATCTGGTTGATCTTGGCACGACATACAGGGCAACCTGTTTTCTTCTCTTTGATTGTGTTCAAACAAGACATGCATCCAGCCATGTGGCCACATGGTACACAAGCTCCCTCAACTGGAGCATCTAAACATATCACACAACCATCTTGCACTTCATCTGCCCCAGCAGGTAAGTTCTCAACAGACGGGTAAGACAAATTGACAGGACTGGAATCAATCGGTGGATATTGAACTGGACCATTATCTAAAACCGCATCTGCAGCTATGTTTGCAATAGGTGGAGCTGATGGGACTGAGGCAGAGGCAGAGGCAGAGGTAGAGGCCTCATGTGTTGTTTGGACAACAGCAGAAATGTCACTCTGGGTCTGGACATGCTGAGTTGAATTGCCACTTGGAACACTTTCCTGGATTCCCCACCCATTGCTACTTCCTTTTGAAGGAGCAGGTCCTTCGGGGGCACTCCAACCACTTTGACCGATGATATTCACAGAATTAGAGGAACTGGTGGAGGCAGACACTCCAGAGTTTGCAGATTGAAGGGAAGCGCTGATTGCCATAGCTAATTCCACATCTTCTGCAGTGTGTGGGGCTGTTGGCGGGACAGTTGGGGGAACAAGAGGTGCTTGGGTGTTGAAAGGATATGTTGGATGCACCACCTGAATGTTCAAATAGGTACATTTAGTTAAAAACACATAATCAGAATACAATTAACTATATGCATATATAGGTAGGATATGTAAATTTTGCAGGTTCTTATTTTGTTTGTTCATGTCGAAACTATGACCAATGAAATTGGAATAATAATTTTTTATTTTTTAAATGCACCAATCTGCATAAATATCAGCAGCCAGTAAATTTGAACTGCCCACGAAACTCTTGGATCTCATTTTTTATTAGTCATTTATGATATCACTGAAAGAGGAAACTTCATTAGTTAGCAGTATTAAGTATAAAGCACTGCAATTATCTTGTGTGATTATCATATATGAATTCCGCCAATGCTATGAAGGATAGAGAACAGCAACATCCATAACGAAAGCGTGTTGTACCTGTGGAATTCCTTTACATGCATTGCAAAATCGCTGCAGTAGTTGTTTGTCCCTTTCATTTTCAGGTAGAAGTTTAATGCGTGTCTCTGAAACAGGAGAAAGTAAAATACAGGTGCATTCAAAATGTAATGTTTCAGTATATAAGGTATTTAAAATATAAAAATAAAAAAGCCTACGTAAATATTACTATTATTATTTTCTTATTGTTTCCCATCTCTCAACACACATAAGAGGACAACTCCCAGAAATATTACGTTGGGAGAGAGCAGGAGGTCGGGTAAAACATAAATCCCAATTTCATCACTTTCCATTGTGGACCTTCAGAATGCTCTAGATAAACTATAGGGTTTTTTACCCATAACATAGCCAATAACAGACATATTCCAATACCACCTAACAACTAGGAGGAGATTGGAATAGGGCTTAACCCAATCATAATGAAAGTCAAGCTTAAGTTGATATTAAGCAAATCTTATGCCTTGACATTTTTTTTTTTTTTTTTTGTGGCAAGGTTCAAGAAAAAGCCTGAAGTAAAGCTGTTGAGGCTCAAAATCCTATCCTCATATGGACAATAGTTGCATCCTGCCCTATCAGGACCAATTTCGTTCTTATAGGCAATGTGGTCCAATAAAAGAGTGACACATATCTTAAAAATAATATAATATTAATGAATTAAACCTGTTAAAAAAAGGATTCACCAGGTAGACCCATATGAGAGAAATCACCCCCCCCCCCCCCCCCCCCCCCCCACACCGCACCCCCCCCCCCTCTCTATCTCACACACACAAATCTCCATTCCATATACCTAATTGCCGTCACTCCCCACCTTCCGCCGCCACCACCGACACTACCCACTCTCTGTCCATCTCTCTCTCCACCATCCGTCGGTAAACAAAGCTTCCTCAAACCTACACAGCCTCACTCACATCTTCTCTGTAACAACAAACCAGTGCTCGAAATTGCAACCATCGACCAATATTGTCTCCTTCAAGGGACGATTTGACGGTTGGAATTTGGATCGTTGAGAGAAGACATCGTTTGACGAGTCCCGAAGCCTCATATTATAGATGACAATGGGGAGAGATGGCAAAAGCAGGTGGAGACAGCAACAAGAGGATGGAGGCGTAGAGAGAGAAAGAGAGTAGGAGCGAGAGAGCACCGAAGTGATTGCTTGATTGGTGGTGTGTATGGAGTGAAGAGATGAGTTGCCATTGTGGTGGATTTGGCGTTGTGGGCTGATTGATTGTTTGTTTGGTTCTGGGTTTGGTTCTTGGTGGTGTGAGAGGCGGCGTAGGAGAAGGGTCGTGGATTTAGCGTTTTGGGTTCGGATAATTTCTTGTTTGTTATTCGAGTCCGTGGCAGTGGGGTCTAGGTTTGAGATAGTTTGGAGGGTGTTGTGGTGTGGCAGAGGAACACATGGTGAAAGGGTGGTGGAGAGGTGGAGGGCGACGGAGGTTGAATTGGGAGTATGGGGATTTTGGAAGTGGAATCACTCAGATGGGTAGAGAGATTGAGACTGGTTAACCCGTCATTTTTTACTTTAGGACAGGTGTTAAACTTTTATTAGGCTATCTCACCTATCAGGACAAAGTTGGCCCTGATAGGGCAGGACCCAAGCATTGTCCTTCTCATAGCTTTAAGAATGAGGCAGCCTGAAGCATGTTGTGAGTGACCTGAGTTGAATCAGCAAATAATTTTTAAATGTCAGGCACAGAGATTAATCAGAGACAGGATGTTTTTCTTCTGGCAGAACATGGAAGCTTAAAAATTGGATTTCAAATTAATTTTTATTTAACAATGTCATTGAAGGCTTGAATTAGTGTGGGAGCCGTGGGAGCCCAGGTAAACTCTGAAATCTCAACTCTTATCTCTAAAATAATATATACCTATAGAACGTGAACTTACTTTTAATTAGTTCAAAGTTCAATATACTTACGCCTATCTCCTCGAGGCTTACACCTTGCCTCTCGGGAGGAACAAACACCTCGCCTCCGTCTCCAGCGTCTTGGGACTATGCATGAACATAATAAATTTAAATATATAGATATACTTGCATATTAAATGATAACAGTTATTTTACTAAGTATATTGAGAAATTACTGCTGGAATTATCCCAAGTTATCACTGCAGGATCGGGCTGGTTAAACTTTGGTTCTTCCAAGTTGGCTTTCCACAGTGCAATAATAGTGCGAGGTTGGGCATCCTGCTCATTCAATCAAAACTACTGTATAAATTAATATGTTTAAAAACACATAATCTAGCAGTTATAAATAACAATAGTGGCAACACAAATATTCCAAATGAGCAGATATATATATGTATTACATTATATAAGTTCAAAATTGAATGCAATACATTCAAGATGATTCTAAAAGATCTAATTTTGTTCAACTAACAAACTCTAGCCATTTAAAAGGATCTTCTGATCAATTCATAGATCATAGGAAACCCGTTGGGATATGAATTCCAAATATCACACGCTGCTCACTCAAAGAGAGATACAACAACTAAAAACGAAAGATAGAATGATTTTTTATTTTTTTGAGATATGGAACTATGTGAATAATAGAGAAACTCCATGAAAGAAAAATTAATAATTCATATAAATCACTTAATGGGAAATGCCCCGAATAAATCCACCGAGTGACTAATAATGCACGTAAGTATGATGGTATTGGGCTATGCAGCTCTTTTATGTGGATCATTATTATCAGTAGCACTTCTAGTCATTACATTTTGAAAAGACATAAAGATTTTTTTGTAAAAGCAATCCATTTTACTATGCCAGTGTTCATAAAAAGAGAAAGAATATAGATAAGAGTCAAAACTAAACCCTGAGATGCCTTTCTGGATCTTAATGGAACATGAGAAGCAGATGACTTCCAGAAGAATCTATAAATTTCTTGAAAATCCTCTAAAATCCACTCATTCCTTTCTATGATATATGGTTACTCCATCAAGGTTTAAATTCTACTGGGAGGTCCATCAGAGATCTGAAATTGTTGGATAAATGACAAGAATGATGTTGTTTTTGTTCCTTCCAAGTGATTTTAAAAATAAGAGAAATCGTATTGTCCAATTTATTACTTTTACCAATGACTGAAGAATGCGAATGTTGACATATTAATACAAGTATATAGTAACACTAGTACTTAACTCTTTACAATAAGGAACCTGGACGATAGAACATCCAGTGCAAAACTCAGAAGAAAGAGGACAATGAGATTCCATTTACTACTGATAGCACAAGGTGACAAGGTTGCAAGCAACTGCTAAGCAAATATGAATCTGCACAGTATCATGTCATCTACCTATCTGCTCACGCTACGTGGACCAAGTTACAATCTAATTCCAACTGCAAGTGGATGCAAAAATCCAGGTGGGTCGCAACCAGATGTTTGACTGATCAAAGATGGTAAAAAAACTATGGGCCACTCTTCTCATACCCCTCCAGAAGGGAGCTTATTTTGACGTAGGGCACAATAGATTGGAGAGGGATGCCATTGCATACCTTACATAATCATCACAGCGATAATATTTCCGAAACTGTGATGACTACCACTTTATAGAGAAATTTAAAAAAGAAAAATTCCAAGTATTTATACATGTGCAAAATAGAAATTAAATTTAACTTAAAAATAGGTCCTCTGTTGGCCCACATTTAGATTAAGGGAAAACCACAGCCATGTCCAAAACGGCCACAACATCAGGTGTCTCATTGTGACTTAGGCTACTTAGCAACTTGCTCAACAGCATGTCAAAGAAATTTGTTAATATAAGAGAAACCAATTTTCATAAATCTCCATTATGGCATGAAAGAGACTTCTAACATTAGAATAGAAGATGACAATTAAAGTAAAAGTACATCCCCTCAAGAAGACAAGGAATAAATTTCCATTCTTTCAAGTAGTAATGGGTTAAGAAATACAAGAGCATGTTGAGATTCATTAGGACAATTAAAGTTATACTGATCGGAGTTACTAAATATATTTCAAGAATAAGACTATAAAGAGCTTTTCAAAACAAATGTTGATTGCAAGAAGTAGCAGAATTAAAAAGACAATATGTAAATTAAAAACTAATTGCAACTTTTCAGAGGAGTCACAAGCAGACAGTAAAGTACCTGTGAACTAGAATATATAGCGAGCTCCAACTTAAAAGGCTTTGTAAGATTACGGGAACCACATGGTAAAACAACCGCCCAACTGCAGTAATGCAACATTGATAAGCTAAATATCTAGTGAATTGTGAAAATAGTTCCTTTACTATAAAATACAAGGATTATGTCATTAGCATGTATTAAGTGAAATACATCAATGTATGCCAAGCCATTTGGCTATATTTCTCATGAACATACTAATAAGTGAGGGAGAACCATTAGAAAACATTGAGCAAAGATACAAAAAAAGGTTGTATGACATGATAAGCACCAGAGTGTTGCATGTCAATCACAGCATGCTCCTCGTTGAAATTATATATGTGGGATGCACCCCAAAAAACTGATATGCATGTGGCTCCCAAACATGACACTTAAAGCTCTCTTCTATTTTCCTTTTGTCTACATAAGAACAATTCTGTAAGAAAATGTTATCTTACACTTTTCTTGAAAGCAATTGAGGAGCAAGCACTTCAAGAAATCCTGGCCCATAAAGCTCCCGCAGCCAACCAGAGAATAAGCAGATATGACTCTAAAGCATTATATAAAAACACAGGGTTACATTATTACATAAACCAATCAAGAAAATAAAAAATCCTGCCATTGCACACATTGTATATATGTAAAATAGTGAATGACGTTACAAAATACCTCAATTGCACGGACAACATTGGTGTACCCTTGAACTCTGGCAACATCAAGTGGAGTTTGACAGTCGTCATTCATCAGTAATGCGTTTGCTAAAAATTTTGTACAAGAAAACATATATTCAACTACTGCAGATAGTACATGAGGAATATTGCTTACTGCTGCAAGAAACTTGTAGTTATCATCACAGTAACACAAGGTTAACTAATATGATACTATTACACACACCTCCATGTGAAAGAAGTAACTTGACAGTCTGTTCATGGCCTCTTTTTGCTGCATGATGTAAAGGTGTCCCAGCGTGACGACCTAGAACAATAATTAAAATGAGTCAAATGGGGGTAAAGACAAAACTACAAGCGCATTTTAGAGTGCACTAAACATGACAACCAGCTACTGTAATTGATGAATATGCACTGTTATTTGAGAGGAGTTTCATTTAATTAAGTATTAGAAAATGATGGACTATTTAATGCTACGAATTACAAGGCAAATTGCCAGGGTAAAAAATAAAATTACAAGGCAAATTCAAAACAAATATACACAGACATGCATCAGTAAATTTCAATTTACAAATTGTTTGTATTTGTATTTGTATTTAATTAAAGAATGGGTCTCGAGCAGGGGAAATTTTACAAAGAAAAAAAAAAAAAAATCAGCTCTATAGCCTCTATGTGGTGGCTTTTATTCATAATCTCCATTTCTTATGAGTATATCAAACTGATGCAGCTATTCATTCATATTTTCAGATTATTATTCTTGGAAAAGTTCCATAGAAGTTTTGCAGTGAGTATCTGGTAGAGAATAGTGGCAGCAGCCTTTTAAAGTATATAAAAGGCGTGGCAAGGAGGGTTCTAAGGCTCAAACCTTAATTTGGCACATGCTAGACGATGGGGGGTCCACTTGGAGTCTTGCATAATTAGGGGGTTTGGTCAAATTTCATTATTTTGGTAATTGCATCAATTAAATTATTTGTTACTTTATTAAGTTAGAGTCAACTTTTGATTACCTTGTTTTGGTAAATTGCATAATTAGATTAAATTGCATCAATTAAGTTATTTGTTACTTTATTAAGTTAGAGTCAAGTTTTGATTACCTCCATTGTGGGGTAATCCAAGGGTCATCTTTTATTATAAAAAGGATACTATGTAACTCTGAATACTCAGCGAATGATGGAATCAAATTATCCTTTGAGATTTCTTTGTGAGTGATTCGCAAATTCTGAGGGTGTGAGGCCTTCTCTAGGTGTGATACCTAGGTCCTATTGGAGTGATTCCAATAGGTTTTTCTTTGTTAATTTCATTCATTCTTTTCTACTAACAACCCCTGAATCTTAGCTTTGTTTCTGAATTTCCAGCCCATAACTCTTATTTAGCCTGTTCTTTGTCCTACATCAGTATCACTCAACCTCCTTTCACTACGTCGTTAAATATTCTTTTCTTATAGCTAAAAATCCATTTATGCATATTAGAGAGCCGATTTTTTGGACTCTTTGAGAATTTACAGTGCCCTATGGCCTTGTGTATCTTCTAAGGGTTGCATTCTCCTTTTGAAGGCTTCTTTTATACAAATTTTACTTATCAAAAAAAAAAATAAATAAATAAATAAAATCTATTAATACATTAATACCTTGATCAAAATTCATAATTCTATACTATAATCATACTAATATATGTAGTATCAATTTGTTCTGTTTGTAAAACCTGACAATACATACGAGAACATAAAACTAGGAATGCTATGGTAACAAGCAAACTTCTACAAAATTTCTATTACCCTAGTAAACAAACTACATATATGCATAATATACAACACTAAGTTGAAGTTGAAACCCATAACATTAATCTCAGTAACAAACACAAGAAGCATACCTGGCCGATAAGCATTCACATTTGCACCCAATTCTATCAAAGTTTTTGCTACATTATAAAGTTGTAAATTCATACACGCCACGATCAGTGGAGTCTTCCCTTCTCTATCAACCCACTGCACCAAAACCATCATCTTGTAGTCAAATACATAATCTCCTCTAATTACACACAAACATATGTTTTTCTTTTTTGTTCTTTGGCAAGAAACATACACACAACACTTACACACTCATTTTGCCCCTTTGGGGACTCCAACCCTCACAATCCGAGGTAGAGGAGATACCATTAAGCCACAAGGACCTTGGTAAACATACGTTCAATTACTTAAATTCCATCAAATGAACACCAACATAAAAAAAAAAGTTCTAATATAAATACTGCAATTGTAATCTTTTTGGTAAGTAGATATTCGAATTCGCATATATTTGTATGTGTGTATACACATAGATACACGTATGTATATGTACACGGAGATGATGAAAGATGTAGTAAGGGAGATGATTGGGTACCTCGAGGCTTGCGCCTTCTCTGCATAGAGCTTTGATCCCTTCTGTGTTGCCATAATTCACTTGCTGATACAGCAATTCGCCTTTGGATTGTTGTTGCCCCATTGAGTTCGAATAAATCTAGGGTTTTGAAGGACAAGATTGAATCTTGGAAGAAATTAGGGCAATACGAAGCTTTTCAGTTCCGGGAAAATGCGAAGAGATGGAAAAATCCACGGAACCAAAATGATCAGAGACAACCAATGTCAGAGTTGAATAATGAAAAGGACTTTTACTAATTCTGCGAAGGTTTATCTTCTTTTTTTTTTTCTTTTTTTTTTTCTTAAATAAGATTTTAATTTTCTTTTATTTTACAGAGTGTTTTTTTGTGTCTGTTTGAATGAGAATTTTCTTTTAATAGTACATTTATAATTTATAAAATAGATGATAATTTGACAGAAAAAGGACATTTTTGGCAAGAGAAGATGTAGATGCATGAATAATTTCTGCTTCTAGAAGTTCATTAGTTTAGTATTTTTTAATACAAAATAGGTCTTTGTTTGGCAATCGAAATTCAAACAAACCCATTACATTTTGAAGTTGCTACATTTTTTAGTCAACTGAAATGCCATTGTTTGAATATAAAATTCCAATCTCTTGGTTAAATCCTTCATTCCAATTAATTTTTCCTCTACTAAAAATATAAAATACACTTAAAGTTACATTTTAAAAATAAATAGAAGATAAAAGAAGCACACTTTGTTTTTATTTTTTTATTTTTTAGAAGAAATTGACTTTTAATAAACATAACACAGTTGTTGTTTATACCTTAAGTGCACGAATTTTTTTTTTGTATAATTGCGATTTTGTAAAGTGTAAAGATGCATTAAAAATAATTGTGTCATGCCATACTTAAAATGAAGTGTTAAACGAAGCTTAAAGAGTGAAAATCGGAGTGCTAATATTATATGCTTAAAAATGTGATAATAATTCAAAATATATATATCATTTCAAACATATATATGTTATCACTCATTTATGTTAGAGAGTTATGACACATTACGAATTTATGATAGTATCACAACACATTTAAAATATTATTAATTTTTTTAATTAAAAAATAAGTGTATATATATATATATATGAAAATCAAAGAGATTATTGTTGCGCACGTTGAGGGGTCGGTGCGCGTAATACAAATTTATAACTTAGGATGGATCCCTAAGGAGCACTGCTAAGGGGAGTTCCAGTTTTCTGGAATAAAAAAAGAAAAATCAAAGAGATTTCTTAACAGAAAAGTAATGCTAGGTCATCTATTTTCTATTGAATTTTTTAATTTTTTTCTTCTTAATTGCTCAACGCTTACCGAAATACGCGTTAAGAGCCAGTGTTTTCATGACCACAGAAGCGAGTGGTTTCAACTAACTTGTCTAACTCATATTTATCATCGGGGTCCACTATTTGGTGGGAAACAGCAATAATATAGGTTGATGTCCCAAAATCTAAGAACAAATGACGCGACAGGACACAGTACGATATTGGGTACAATTATACTACAAATTCATAAATTACTGTAATAAATAAAATTGGAACAGAATTGTGGTACTTAAAAATATACAAATATATATATATATATTATTTAAAATTATTATAAATATAATTACTATTATTATCGTTGTTATTATTTTTACTTTTTGGGGTCCTGGTCTTCTACCTTGTACTGTTTCTGTTTTCTAAAATTTGACATTAATTTTCTAATTAATACATAGTAATATTTTACAAAATTATATTAAAACTAATTTTTTGAAAAAAATATATTTTAAAACTATTATATGGTATTCCGAGAATATCCCAACCAGCGTGGTCTAGTCCCAGTGCTTCTGAAACATGTTGGATGAGAAGTGTGTGTTAGTCTGGAATATGTGTATGCTAGGTATGATTAGTCATCTTCTCGAGTAACCTAACAAGTATATTAAATAATTCTTTTTACTTCAAAACCAGCAAAAACATTATTTTACTAGATTTTTTTTTAATTTTTATTTTACTAGATATTTTACTAGATACAATATCAAAAAATTGAATATTTAGTTTGTATATATTGGATTTAGGGATATGACAAACTAGATACAGACCTGCACCCACCACTCGTGTTCATGAACAAAAATTTAGCTTTTAAATAAGCTGCTAAAATATGATGGCAGCCTAATTGTTATGAATTCTAGGAGTCACGTTCCTATCTAGGATCAATAACACAAAATAATGTCACTCTTGCACCTCTGAGGAATATAAATATACCAGCTATTTATTTATTTTTTTTTTGGTCATTTTGTAGGCACAAAGGCCAAGCCAACGGCAATTTAGAGACAAAAAGCCAAGTTAAAAGAGGTATACAAATCATAAAACAAGCAATAAAATGAAAAAAGGTTCCAGATCTGTGAAGAAAACAGAGCTTAAAACTCTGAATCACCACGGAAGAAAAGCAACAATAGGAGTGACCCAAATGTCTGGTCATCATTAAGGCAACATCTCCAAAACTACTGCCACAAGGCGCTCTGACACCCAAAACTCCGCACAAGATCAAATCAAGGAAAAAAAAATCAAATCTAGACGGGACAAGACCAAAACCGACCTAGATCGGAGTTCTAGCCGGAGAAAAACAATAGATCTGCCCATGTGAGCTGAAAATGAACCCAACAGGAGCAGATCTAGCCGAACAAAAACAAAAAAAGGGCGTAAAAAACACCTACGGAGCGCACTTATTGAAACACGCCGAGTTTATTGCAGCCGTTGGAGGCAGCTATCAGCTCCCCACCCATGGAAGGGAGCAGGGAGGCACAGAGGGAAGAAGACGAAAGCTGGGTAGAGAGAGAAAGTTAGAGAGAGGTGGGAGAGAAAGTACGCGCTTGAAATTTAAAATAATGTGGTAATGTGGTAGCCAATTTAATTTATAAGAGCCTGAAACACACAATTAAGAGCAGAAAATGCATTTCATTAAGCTGCAGAGGATTCAACATAACAACGATGGCTTTACAAATGACAATGTGTTTCTGTGCTAGCAAGTTCATCTCCTGTACAACCATAATAAATTACTACCAGAAGCCAAAAATACTACAACACAAAAGAATCAAGAATCAAATGAATGATAAAAATTAAAGATAACATTGTTTCTATATCATTTAGGCTTCAGCAACCGATGAATCTATTTTTTTTCCTTTTTATCGTAAAGGAATTCTTGTGTATCATCCTATCCAGAAGATTTTAATTTTCTTATCTATTACCATGTTGGCCCAACAAATTCATGATGCCACTCAGCAGCTGGTCATTGTTCCTACTTAACCACTTCTGCATTTGATTACAATATACTAACCTACAAAAACAAGCCTAGGAAGATGGTGCCACCTCGTTGTTTTCCTCAGCAGACGTGGGAGATATGGATGATCCAGCTGCACTGCTCTTTGGTAGGCAGTACTTCTTAAGCAGTCTGTCTTTGTTTTCCTTCCACCAATCTTCTGCCTGCTGCTCGGCAAATTTTCGCTTGCTGTAAAACCATTTCAGTTGAACTCGAAATGTTAAAGATAAAAGAGTAGGGAGGAAAAGCTCAAATTGTCCCAAACAAGGTGGTTTTCTTCATTTATTAAACAACAATGCTTGTTACATATGCTTCATGAAAATGAAAGTAATCACCAATCAGATGAATAATACTCATGAGAAAGGAGGAAATAATGAAGTGTAAACAAGTTTCTAACCGACCCTGAGTAGCGAAAGTGATTATTTTGAGAAATCCTTTGGTTTTCAAGTGTTCTCATTATATTAGCAAGCACTTAATATCTAGATCTTTTAAAAGAAAAAGGGAACTAGAGAAGGAGTTCTATTTTCTTATTATTAATCTTGATAAATTACATCTGATGTAAGCAAATGACTGCAGTTTTTAGGCCTATCTAATAAAAATACCATCTATTCTGTGTGTGAATATTTGTAGCATCTATTGTGTGTCCGTTTGTTTAGGTGCATTGAAGTTGTAAAAGTTCCAGAAAGATTACGAAATAAAAAATAAATAGAGAAGGAAAGACAAGCAACAAGTAATCTACTTGAGTACCTGAACTTCACTCGCTTGAAGATCCTGGTACCATTTTGAAGTTGAACGAGAGTTACATAAACACCAGGTTCAAATTGTTCAATAACTTCTCTTTGTCCCTCATATTTTGAAACTTTAGGTGACCTTGGGCCACTTTCTGTGCTTTGTTGAGGTAAAGCCTCTCTGGTATCAGATGATCTACCACTCTCCTGAAGAGTACTCTCACCATTTTGCGGTAGGTCTCTAACTCCTGCACCATGGTCTTCCATCCTATGACATGTCCCATTAGCAGACTCATGAACCAAAGAAGTCTTGTCAGGCCTGCTTTGCTGGTCATATACCAAGTCTGCTGGCAAAGAAGAGTGACCTTCAGACGCATGAGTTCCACTTGAATTTAAAAAAAATTCAACTTTAGCATGCATGGCTTTAAAGGTTTCACTATTCGAGATCTCAGGAGGCAACTTCTCTTTCAATTCCTCTAACTGCATAGCATGGAAAACAGCAAGAATGCAAGTTAAGAGCCAGTCACAAAATAATCTAAAGTCTTGATGGATTGTAATTTGATCCATAAAGCCGACCTCATATATCTTACTGGTCTTTGTTTGTTCATGTATACGGTGTTATAACCATGTTGTTGTCTATTATTAATAAATTGTACAAGTATGTATGCATTTCACTTGCCAGGGAAAAAAAGATATACGCATTTTACATGTATATAACTCCCATTATAAAAAGTAATCATGACAAAAGTTGCAAATTGGGTGCTTTAATTGAGTGTTCAATTTCATTGTGAGGTCCTACATTCAAGTTTCCTAATCCACAATTCTCCGACGATATATCTTGAGTGATGCAAATTGTTGCAATCCAGCGAGATTATGTTGGCCACATTCGGCTTGGTGAACTATAGGACTTGTAAGGTTTAATAGCAGACAGGTTCAACAGATTCAGGCTAACACGACCCTGAGAAATAGATAAAGAAGAATGACAGCTATCTTCCTTTCTCATTTTGTCATCTTTCTTCTTTTTCAAATCCCAAGAACTATATTTAAATAGGCCACTTATTACATCGTTCTACATAAAACATCAATGGACTTATTTCGTTAAAAGAAAAGCCGGGATTTGAATTTTCATGACTACAGACAGGTAGTCAGTGTTTGTTTAGAGGATTTAAAATGATACGTCTCTTCCTAACAAATTAGTTCCTTGCAGAACCTGCTCCTCCCTGAAATGAAAATGCAACTTTACTGCAATTCATGGACAATTATGCACTCGCATAGTGGATAAACATGCAATAATTCTACGTTCATACCTAATGATAGAATACATAACCCTGTGGGTTATGGGGGAAAAATCCATATAGTCAATAAAAGTAAGAAATATGAAGACTACCTGAGTAATGATGGACTTGAACACATCCTTTGCACCTTCACACATGGAAGATTCCTCTGCAGCCAACCGAGCAGCTGCTTGAGCATTTTTTTGTAATTTTTGAATTTCTTCATCTTGGATTTCACATTTCTGCTTTAAACTTCTAACCTGAAGTCCAGAAAAAACAATAAATAAATATATTCCAACCAAGGTTCACCTTCTAAGTACAGGATTTTATGACTCAGTCAATAAAAGGATGCAATCAAGTTTGTCAGTATAACAGATGGGAAAAAATCAGTACTTGGTTCTGCAATCTCTTCACTTCTTGGTTCAAAAGGTCGACTGTCTTCTTAAGGCTATCATTGACACTCCTAGAAAATGCTGGTGAAACAGAGCGCGGAGGACTTGGTCTCCTTGAGTACGGTGAAGCAGGTCTTGAGTTGGCTGCTGGTTGAGGTTGAGGTTGAGGTTGAGGTTGAGGTTGAGGTTGGGGTTGAGGTTGGGGTTGTGGCTGAGGCATTGAAAAAGCATATTGAAGAGCAGTCAAAGAACTTGGGAATGCAATGTCTTTTAGTTGTGAAAATGATGGAACTAGGGAAGCTCGGACCATAGAATATGAATCAGATTTCACCCCCAGCTTCCCTGACCTGACCTCAAGGTACTTGATTGGTTCTGTGGTGGGAGAGAACAAAATTCTTGAATTCCTTGCCCCTACCCTGTCTAATGTCTCCCTAAGATCTATCGAGCAACGAGAGGCAGTAGCCTTTCTACTAAAATTAGAGGCATTACCTGCCTCAGCAGCTCTTAATTTTGCATGGCAAGAGTCACAAACACGATACGCTTTACCTGGAGTTGGAGCCAATGCTGCTTTCAGAACTTTCTTGGAAGTGCAAGCATAGCAATGCGCCCATCCACAGTTATAACAATTGCGCTTCTTTCTAGTGAAACCAAATGATTGCCGACAACCAGAGCACACTGATTGGTCCGCTCCGGAAACCCACTTATGGATGCATATACTTGCAGTGTAAGTTGAGCCACATGATATTTTTTTCACGTGCCTATCTTTTAGTGCTTCAACCAATGTTGGAGTCTTCCGATCTTCGGTGTCCCCGTGTCCCAATCTTCCATTGGCACCTCTCCCCCAAGTATACACTTCCCTTCTTGATGTCAGGACAGCAATATGATATGCACCACATGATATTTCTTCAACAAACTCGCCTACCAATCGATCCTGTACTAAGCTAGGTAACTTTCCATCAGCCTTTGGATTGCCCAGCTGACCATATGCAGTACTGCCCATAGTGAAGACATGACCCGATGTAGTAAGGGCAACAGTAATGTTATGTCCGCATGCAAGTTGATGGAAATTGTAGTCAATAAGTGAAGAGACGCAGTTTGGAAGCAGATAGGTTTCCTTGTTTCCATGGCCCAATTGATTTTTATCACCGTCACCCCAGGTGAACAACCTTCTAGATGAAACAGATGCATCTGACTGCCCTAAAAAGTCTACAATGGCTGCAGTGTGCCACAGTCCACATGCAACTTTAATGGTCTTCAGCCCACTCAACGATTGAACTTCTCTTGGATAAGAAACACTTTCTCGGTCACCGTGGCCCAAAACACCAAATGCTCCATCACCAAATGTAAACATCTTTCCATCAGAAGTTGACAATGCTGAATGCCACGTGCCACATGCAACAGATACAACTTGAAGTCCTTCTATAGTACCTGAAACTCTTTTTGGTATCCAGTGGCTAACACCAGTGCCATGACCGAGGAGTCCAGCATTATGGGTACCATCACCCCAGCTATATAAATCACCAGATGCAGATACAGCGCATGTATGATACTCACCACATGCAACAAAATCAATGCTAGTAACTGCAAGAAATTCAACTAGGCAAGGGTGACTGAAGTGTTTTTCAATTCCATGACCAAGTCTTCCTCCAGATTCCTCGCCCCAGGTGAAAACCTCACCTTGCCTTGTAACAAGAGCAACATGTTGGACACCACAAGAAATATGATGAACATCAAGAACTACATTTGACTCTAAGGGTTTTGGAATCAGCACGTCAATTTTTGTAGGAAATCGACTCCCAGATCCATCAGTCGAAACCTCGCCAGACCAAACCTCCCCCCAGACATAAACATCATCTAATGATTCTATGTCATCTGTTCCAGAACTTTGACTTGAACTAGGAGTGCTTGAAACACTAACTCGGAAACCATCTCCAACGCTTGTTCTTGCTTGCATATTTGCATGTCCAGACCCCGCACCTGAGCCTGGCAAATTCAAAGAAGTTTCACGAGAACTCAGATCAACAGAAACCCTAACACGGGCATTACTAGGACGGCCATTTTGAATGAAATCACAACCACCATGTAACTGCAATAAAACCATATCAACAACTGAATTACATGTTTGAAAATTTTATTATCCTATAAATGTTTATCTTGGACATGGCAAACAAATGAATTGTGTTCCCATGAAAATAATATACCACTAACTTGTTCACACTTTAATGGATGAGATCATGCCTATGAATACATTAAAAATGAACTGTATTGAGTACATGAAACCGTGTCTACAGTGTCTGTACCATGCTTGCAGTTGATTTATGATTTAACTACAGTAAAGGATTGTGCACTCATCAAGCGATCATATGGTACATTTTCTGATAGCTGTCATACTAAATTGAAAATTACAAGACGAGATTGACAGATACAAACTCAAACAAAGAATACAGTGAGATCAAATATATTAAAAAGATCAACAAGTAAACAAATAAGGGATTTTTAACAAGTAGACACATACATGAATTTCATTATGTTGTAATTACTATTGAAAACATCTTAAAAAGATTACAAACAAGAAACCAAATAATATGAGTTCTCACACAAAATATAACGTGTACAAAGATGAGTATTATTAATGTGAAAGCAACACAATCACAATAATATACAGTCAGATGAAAACAGTTTCTATCCTAAAACCTAAAATTTACAGGCAAATGTCAAATTGTTGATGTAGGGACATTTTGAAACTTCTATAACTCGTAAGGATGAGAAAATCAAGGTACTTATAGCAGCTTTCAGTGACGGACCTAAAAAATTATGTGAGTTGGGCAAACTTATATAGTAGGGTTTTTCTGAAATTTCAGTGGGGACAATTTCAAAATTTTATAGGATATAATACAAAAAAATAAAAATTCAGGGGTATATAATACAAAAACAAAAAAAATCAGTGGGGGCAGATACACCCACTGAGCCCACAGAAGATCCTTGCCTGGCGGCTTCTATAAATATAGTGGAAGGATAAAATTAGTATTTGATTATTTGTAAACTTTTAAATCTCTTGTTGTATTAAAAAACTTGAAATTTTGAATTTCTAAATTAGTCATAGATGAACTATACAATTAAAATTGTTCTAAAATAATGAACATCTTAGTAGCCTAAGTAGAGAAAAAAAAAAGGCCACTAAGTGCACTAGTTAGTAAGAGGGACATGGTCCAGGTTGAGGCTAAGGAAAAGTGACACGGTCCACATTGAGTGTAATGCTAGGGGAAGAGAAAGACCAAAAGTAACAATGATAGTGTTAGTAAGGAAAGATGTGATAAACATGTGGTTTGATTGGGGCTATGGCCTTAGATACAGTGGATGAAAAAATAGGATTCATGTAGTCAACCCCAAGTGGTTGGGAAAAGGCTTTGTTGAGTTGAATTTAGTAGCCTATGTAGAATGTGACTCTCAACCAAATATTTGATAGAAAAGTGTCCTACTAGAGTTAAATATTAAAGTATCAACTTTCAGATAATGGAAGTAGTGATATGATAATATGATATTCACAACTTGAGAGAAGAAAGGCGGAGATGGAACTTGTAATGCAGGATATCTCTCTATAATAGTTAAGAAGACACTTTCTTGGCAATCATTTTTTGCTATAAACAAATGAACTTGAATTTACACCACATAAAAGAGAAGGAATAATCAAAGTGTATAATAAGACAAAGCCGTAGTCAGCGAAGGGCAAACTAAGATATACTAACATAAAAATGACTAATCACTTCAAGCATTAGATTTAAGATGAAAAACTCACATCAGAAATATCACTCTGGGTACGTCTATTAAGATTTTTCGCACTAGATATTAAAGCCTTCAGGCCTGCAAGCCACACTTCTGCCTCAACTTTGTCCTTGCAAATCTATGGAATCAGTTCAACTAAAGGTAATCAATGTGTTACAACTAGTCATCAACAACGTACACATTAGTTTGAAAGTATTAAATTAATAATAATTTTAGTTTCACTGACCAGATCAAGAGATCTTTCACCATTATTATATAGAAGGGAAAATGATAAATACTCCTTCTCAGGGTGCAGATATCTTCTAAACACAGCCTGCAAAGTCAAAGTTAACAAGTCAAAATTTCATTGTCCTTTTGTCTTGTTAATTGCTGAACAAGATCTCAATACCATCACATGCCAAAGCAGGTTAAATGAATTATAAACATCAAAATATCAATTCAGTCACAAAAGACATGCAAACTCACTGTTCTCTGTCCAGGGACAATCTGTGAAACAGCAGACAAGTTCAGATTCCTCTCTTCTCCTCGTGAGTACCAGATCAATGTTGTTCCATCCTGTAAATATTATTAAGTCCTAAGCATCAATGCACTTTAGGTTACTAAGCTATACATTATGATTTTCAATGAAGGCAAAAGATGAAGCAGATATACCTAATAGAAAAAATTAAGCAAACTAGAGTCTTTGACTTTGCAAGTTTGCATACATACATGCATGCATTTGAATAAGCTGGTCTGACAAAAACAGGAATCAAACAGGTTCAATTTCTTACTAAAAGGTGCATAAAATTTTCAACAGATCACACTACAGTTCATGCATGGGCATGGGTACATGGAACCACATATCATAAAATTATAACTTTAACCTAGCTTAAAGTTGAGCGAACATCAATTAACACTGTTAGCAGAAATGATAGCCACAATTTATGGAATGACTTACCATATTAGCAGAGATTTGATTATGCCATAGAATATGCTATAGAATATGCTGTGATTTGATTTAGATTTGATTTAATTTCCTTTCTTGTAATATGAGCATGTGCACTTTTATCTATAAATATTAGAGCTGCGAATAAGTGATTCATCTCATTCAAGCCTTTACACAATTCTCTCATTTTTATTTTTATTTATATTTCTACTTGGTATCAGAGCCAGGGTGGTCCGACTGCAATAAGGGTATAGCAAGTTCGGCACCACCCATTTGGGAATGGTTTAAGGTGATATCGCCCATCTGGGAGGTGTTGGGTAAGCAAGGGTGGTCCAACCTCAATGAGGGTGTTGCGAGTTTGGCACCACCCATTCAGAAATGGTTTGAGGAGATGTAGTTGTTTCTTTTTTATGGTTTGAGGAGACATTGTTGATTCTTTCATTTACATTGTTTAAGCATATGTATGTAGACATCGTTGATTCTTCCATCTCCATGTTTTAAACATGTGAAGGGGAATGGTCTGAGGAGACATTGTTGATTCTTTCATCTACATGTTTTACACATTTGAAGGGAAATGGTTTGAGGAGACATTGTTAATTGTTTATGGTCTGAGGAGACATTTTTGATTTGTTGATCGACACTTCATTTGAGAGAAAATCATCACTAGTCAGATTTGCACATTGCAACTTGTAGATTCTGAAGAAGGGTGCCAACAAGATTGTGTTTGAGAATGCATTGTCCAAGTTAGGTGTTTCAGATATCACGCACCAACTTCAAGGGGGAGTGTTAGCAGATATGATGGCCACAATTTATGGAATGACTTACCATATTAGCAGAGATTTGATTATGCTATAGGATATGCCATAGAATATGCTGTGATTTGATTTAATTTCCTTTCATGTAATATGAGCATGTGCTCTTTTTATCCATAAATATTAGAGCTGTGAATGAGTGATTCATCTCATTCAAGCCTTTACACAATTCTCTCATTTTTCTTCTTTTTATATTTCTACTAACACCATTTTTGAAATCCTATCGCTTCTACAAAAAGTATGTAACTCGGTCAGCATCCATCCAATCCCTCCCTCTTTGACAACAACAAATTTGTACAACTTCTATATTTCTACTTTCCGTCATTTCAAAAGCCTATACATACAAAACTTCTGGGGACCAACAGTCCAGGATCCACAATTGACTAATGTTGGAACTTTTGAGCAAATCAATTCTAGTTTAGTACTCATTTCAATAGAACCGTTGAGGTAGAAGGATAATAGACTGTAGCCAAAACATATATTAATATTTCACCCTTTTTTTATGTTCACATAAAATAAAAATCCCTTATTGCGACTTGTAAAAATTAAAATGAGAGGTAAAAAGGACATAACAAGTAAAAGTACAGGTTCTGAAAGGATGAACTATATGGTTTTTCAATTAATTTCTTGTAAGAAATGCAAAGATTTCAATCTTATTCTTTACTTTCTGAAAAGAATGTTATAGTATACTCTATTCCTTTAGAATAGAAAAAACACGTTATATTACATTCAGTAAGAAGGTTTACCGGACTGTTAAGGAGACTTAAATCCTACAACTGTATATTAAAATATGTCCTGTTGTAATTCTCCATCCATTGTTTCTCATCCTGCTTCAACATGGAATCACATATCTGCACAGAAGATAATCCAGAAAGTGTCTAATTGACTGACTGGTCTACCAAAGGTCATCCAGCATAAAAAGTTCAACACAAACAGTCACAAATTTGTTTTTTTACCAGGAATTCTACTGCATCTGAATCATGGCATGAGCCAAGGCTTATAATCAGATATTAAAGCTTCAGACTAACATCATAATTTTTCTTTTACAGCCTGTTTGGTTGGAATGATGACAGGGAGTAGAAAATGGAGAAATTTTTGATCATTTGGTGGGAGTGAAAGAAGAGGCCACCAGAAAAATCCACCCAAAAATAAGTGGCAAAAAAGGAAAGAATAGAATGCTTGGGGGTCAAGCAGGCTCGAATGCCTTCGCTAATGGCAGACAATGTTCTTGCGGTTGTTCCCATCCCAGGTCACTGGAGCTCTAGTTTACGCCCTTACATCAAAGATTTTACAATTAAATTTCACCATTCAAACAACAGCCTTGAGTTCATGTGTAATGGCTAAACGTAAAATGAGCACTAAATGGCCTATTTTCTTCCCTTCCTTCCTCCTCAACCAAACAGATAGGAAAAAGATTGGTGTCCTGGCCTGAAAATTGTAGGCCTCAACTGTGAAAGTGACCGAGTCAAATACCACGTGTCACCTGGAAGTCATGATCATGGATAACTCATCATCCAAGTGCAACGCCAGCTGGAGATGCGAGACCCACCTGTGGGGTTCTCGATCTCCCCCTCTCTATCTAATCAAGTTTATTTGCCTGTTTTCCACAAGTGAAAGGGCTCCACAAGGGGATCCCTGCAACAACCCGAGGGCTCCCTATCTACTCTGCCGAGGACGACTCTACAGATAAGCCTGGGGTCTGGTCACCAATAGGAAGGCTCCTCTTCATTTGGCCGAGCCTCTTCCTGTATTCCCTAGAGGAACTCCTCTCTATAGATAAGCCTCGAGATGTAAATCATTCCCACGGACCTCCTCTCTACGAAGAACCCCTGGGCACAGTTCGGTTCTCGAGGACCTCCTTCCAACAGATAAGCCATGGGTGCGCAACTTGTAGCTCAAGGAATCCCTCTATATTTCCTGGTGGCTGAGTTCCAAGGTCCGCCAAAAGAATGGTCTTGCAACATCGCTAAGCCAAGGGTCATCTTCGGCCCAGTGCAAAGGTGGAGAAGAGCTAATTTCCTCTAAATAGAAACAAGGAGAGGAGGTGAGGTCTCACATTTAATGCAGATCCTTCTAAATAAGGCCCTTGTTTATGGCACATACACTCATGTCCCCCTAAAAGGAGATATAGCTTGCCTCAGGCCACCTGCTCGGTGTCTCATTGCCGTGCTTCAATCCCTTTTAACCATTGGGCAATAATAGGAGACTCCCTTGTGTCCTGTGGTCTTTGATCCAGTAGTACAAACAGGGATCGGAGGCTTTATTAAAGACATAAATCACCACCATAACTTGGAGACATAGATGAGCCCGCCTCCTCTTCTCCTCTCCTGACAGGAAAGACCTTTGTGTCAGCGCCGATCTCCACCTAGGCCTACTCGTGTTCTTGGCGTATGTAAAGCAATCTCCTCGAACATCTAGAACCTTGCATCTACAAAAATCATACGACCCAACAGTCTAGGGGATAAAATTTGTAGCATCACTTTTATAATTGCCCTTTCGTGATCAGTGAATCTCCAATTAAATTAATTATTATCAAGTGGAAACATGTTTTCTTGTGGGTAAATTATGTACCATTCCACATATTAAAATAAGAAATATAAAAAATTACAACATAAATCAGATGTAAGAAAAGTGTATATGACTATGATCACCACACTCCTATAAGTTCTTGTTTTTGAAACATTCTTCCATGCAGTTCTAAATCTAAGTGAATATGTTTAACATGAAAAAAATGAACTCATTGATCACATTAAAGTTAAATTAATTGAATATCTCAAGCCAGAGACCAAAAAATACCGGAGAAACTCTGAATGGGCAAAACTTGGGCTTCCCTTTCCGGCTGTACTTGATTAACTGGGTGCCTTTTTTCAAAGCAACAAATGCCTTCAAAAGAAAAAAAAAAAAAAAAAATGTCAGCAAAAGTATGTCACAGGGTAAAAATGCTGTGTACATGAAAAGGTTACAGGACTAACCTTAAAACATCAAATAAGCATTGACATGAAGAGTTAAGCTCAATCAATAACTCAGCTATTAAATTCCTTCTGAGGTGAAGTGGAAGCCTCACAATAACTATTACTTCTTCATATTTAAAAGCGAAAAAAATTAATATTATGTAAAAAAAATTAAAAAAAAAAATAAAAGCCCTTTTTTTCTTGTATTTTGCCTCAGTTTTGATTAGTTGCTATTTTGAACTTAATATATATTGAGCAAGAACTTATGATATTAGTCCCATCAGGTGTGAGCCTCACAAAGAAAACATAAGGTTCAGTTTCGGAAGCGTGAGCATTTTGGGCCTGTCAAGAGTCATAAACCTTGCGTATACATTATTGACAAGACAAAAGCATGCAAGAGAGTGGCTTGCAGACTAAGGAAATACTTTGAGGACTTTGGCTGCTTCTATTTTTCTATGTTTTCATTTTCCTTTCTCCTTGAAGTTTTTAAAAGTGAAACATGACAGCTTTTTATAATTATAATCAAGAGAGTTGTTACATTCAACCACAAAGGGGTTGTTGGCTCAAGTGGATAAGTGTAACGGGTGGGCGCTTGCCCATTTACCCAAAAGCTCAAACTGTTGGGTAGTGTTGCATACCCACCCATTTATACCCAATCACTTTCCCATCCGGATCCGATACGGGAAAAATGACCCTTGTAACATTCTCCCTCACCCGAACTCGCAACGCCCTCGTTGCGGTCGGGCCACCCTGCCTACTCAGGTGAATCACCTGGACGCCTTCCGGGCAGGACGCTTGGCGTGGCGTCGGACCAAAGACTGGGTTTGGCTCTGATATCAATTGTCACGGGTGGGCGCTTGCCTATTTACCCAAAAGTTCAAGTTCAAGCTATTAAGTAGTGTTGCATACCCACCCATTTATACCCAATCACTTTCCCATCCGGATCTGATGTAGGACAAATGACCCTTGTAATAGTAAGTCATTTGGCCCTGGTGCCTCATGAAGCATCATTTCAAACCTTTTGGCTGCAAACAATTCCTTGGGTTGGTGGGGGGGGTGGATGGGGAAGGGGTATCAAGTTGTTACATTCACTAAACTATTTGTTTCACATAATTTTTCCAATAGGGTTGCATATATTTCCCAATAGGCTAGCAAGTCTAGCTACATAGTCAATACTCAAAGCATTAGCCAGCTGAATTTGTAAGTCTAGCTTAGAATAAGTCAAACCATCTTCTTGCAAATTGAAAGGGACCCTAAGGATATAAATACTTTTCCAGTTTCCTATTCCACACCTCTTATGGCATTTAATTTCTCATCCATGCCATGCTAGTCCCAAGCTTTGTAAATTTAAGAAAGTACTATCCCAAATATATGCATCTTTTGGCCTTACACCCCTATCTCTAGGATTTTCTTTGTTCATTTATATCACTTTGATCAACATAACACAATACATTTCATTTTGATATGACAACTGAACTCCAAAACAGTGTTGCATTCAACCATCGAACTCTTCAACTGCAAAAGGTATTAATAGATCCATCAATTTTGATGTTTGAGTAACAAAATTAATTGTTAGAATTTAACTGCCAAGCTTTCAATTTTTTTTAGTACTCTAAATCGACTTCTCACCTCTTCCTTCCAAGCTAAAAAAATTCATAGATCACGGAATTACCTTTTACTGATTATTAAGTTAGGACCAAGTTTGATATCCACATTGGTCTATAAAATGACGAACCTTGTCATGTTTCATAATTACTCAACTTAAACAAAGCTTCTCCCAAACTATAAAGTCTACTATATAAATCATGCTTCTCCAATCTGCTCTAAGGTCATCGCCTCAGTTAAACTACATGCTAACTCGAATTAAAAGGATAGGAAACTTAATTGACTAGTAAAAGTTACTAGGACCTATTTAACCACAGGGTACTTGACTAATTAATTAGTAAAAGGGTAAAAGGGTAAAAACACTTAATCTTTACTTCTTTATCATCATCCTTGCCTTAATTTCATATGAATGGATTCGGCATCTGAATGATTTTTTTTTTTTTTTCCAATCTTTCTTATTACAAGTCATCCCTCATATAATATTTAACTTTTTAAAATCATTTCTAATGAAGTAATAATAATAATTTCATCCCATGTCAACTTTGGTCGCTCTCTTTGCCTCCCACCATTTATACAAATTGGTATCCTTCTTCTTATTGGAGCATCTATAGATCTTCTTTGGGTATGTACATACCACCTAACTCTATTTTCTCATTAATAAGCATCACTCTTAATTTCTCCCTCACATTTTGACTAGTAACCCTGTCTCTTCTAGTCACCCTTATCATCCACCTTAACATCCTCATTTTGCTACATGAATTCGTTATTCTTGTTTCTTTTTTAAAGTCAGACTTCAATTACATAAAATAGTTGGTCTAATAACTATTTAATAAATTTTTCTTTTATATTTGTTATTCTTTTATCGCATAAAAAATAATCTACTAGTCTGTCTCCATTTTGTTCAACCTGTTTCAATTCTACTAATTATATCATCATCCATCTCACCATCGGACCATCCTTTTGTATTATTAACCCAAAATATAAAAAATGGTCACTTTGGATATTCTTTTAATTTTGAAGCATGATCATTACATTATCAATATAGAATCTTTACTAAATATACATTCCAAATGTTCAGTTGTTGTCCGACTAATTTTAGGCCTTTCGATTCTAATGTGTTTCTCCACATTTCTAAATTTATTGCTGAATCTTCTTTAGAAGTGTCCAATAACACCATGTCATCAGCAAACAGTATGCATCATGGAATTTCTCCTTGTAATTCTTTTGTGATTTCATCTAATATTATTGAATAAATATGGAATTAGTGCAGAGCCCTGGTGCAATCCCATGTTTATAGAAAATTCATTAGTCTCGCCACATGTAATGTAAACCCTAGTTTCTGTATATACACAACTTGAATAATGCTTATAATTTTCAAAGAAATTTGTTTTGTCTGTAAAGCCCACCATAGACCATATACAGATTCTTTGCTTAATTATACAATCTTCAACTGACTGTCTTATTAAGTAAATAGACTCCATTGTGGATCTCCCAAGCACCTAATCTCGAATTAACTAATAAAAATTACTTTAACCCTAATTAACCACACAATAAACTGCTGCAAGTGATGCATAATTGTGGTTTCTCGAGTAATTTTTTTTCTGGTTAAGTCTTCATGAATCATGCACCACCATAACGTGTTCTATCGAGAATAAAATACACACACATACACATATGTAAATAAATATATATAGAGAGAGAGAGAGAAAAGAAAAGAAAGTGACCTGCTCGATGTCACGCTCAGGATTGCCATAACTAACAAGATCTGCCATTCCATCTGAAAACAATGCTTAGGGAAATGGCGAAGAAGCCTCCGCATAGTCTTCATAGATGCCAATGAAATCTATTTTGGCCTATCATCAAATCCCCAAAATCTTCGATATTGAAAAGAACGAATTAATCTTACTTGCATAAATTATAAGTTGATCTTCATTCAAATCGCGGAGATACCCAACCAATACCGAATTGCTATCTTTCGATCCGATCAAACTACTGATGCACATGTAATCCACCGAATAGCATAGCAAATTCTGAAATTGTGAAATAAATTGAATGTTGAATTGATTTTGAGGAACGCAATGGACATTCAAAAGCTGTGTGATCAGAGGAAATTACAGAAACAGAGTTGAAGAGAGAGAATAAATGAAGAGAGAGAAAGAGATGGGTATCACTATGATCAGATGTTTAGGGGGACGTTTGCAACTCAGAAGAAAGGGGAGCGACATTGGCGCGCTTCTTTGGCATTGCTCGTAAATTTTGTTTGAAAAAAATAAATAAATAAAAATTGTAATTTTTTACGGAAGAAATGGTAATTATTTGAAAAGTGGCATTACGAGATCAATGTGAAGTGGATGAGATCAACACTTTTGAGTTTAATCCATATAATTTTTTATCGTGTCATGCACTTCATCAAATGAAGAACAATTCTTATATTATTTTTTAATTTAGGTTATACTTCTAGTTTTTTTTAACATTAAATAATATATAAGGTCATATGCAAAAAAAACACTCCCAAAAATATGTTTACCGTACATATCACAATCTTTCATTAAAAAACAACTCTAAAGTTTTAATTCCATACAAATAAGATCCTCTGACAATATTAAACACTAAGTTGACTAAATTATCATTACTAAACCATTTTATAAATTTTATAAAAATAAATAATTTTATAAAATAACCGAAATGACACTATTCGAGTACACCAGTGCAAAAAATACTTCTAAAGTTTCAATTTGGTACAAATAGGTCTGACAAATTTAAACTATAAGTTGACTAAATTATCAACTATTTTATAAAATATATAATAAAATATATAAAAATAAATAATTTTGTAAAATGACCGAAAATGACGCTATTAGATAATGTCAATAATGGATAAATAAAGATAAAAATATAAAATATAAAAAAGTAAAGTAAAATAAAAAAAAATAAAAAACGAAAATAAATTGTAAACTAAAGAAACCAAATTTGCTTCAAACTTTGAAAATCAGTACATGCGAAGTATACTTTAGGGGTATTTTTTACAATTGTCCCAATTTGTATGATATTTAAGTGTGAGTTTTCATACTTTTGTTCCAAAAATAAAGATTGCATTATTTCTCATAAACTTCCATTCAATAAATAAAAGGCTTTGCAAATTCACCAAAAAAAATAAATAAATAAATAAATAAAAAATGCAAATGGCCAGTTGACAGGAAAATGGAAAATTTTAAAAAATAAGCCACCTTGGAAAATTTTAGACTAGTCATAAATTTATGACAAAATGGGTCTTGAACATTTCAATTGAATTACTTTGGATAGAATTGGATTTCGATAATTGGTAAAATGGAATGCTTAATCAAACTTAACTCTGATCAGTGTTGTTCGCATTGTAGGTTGATTATATGACTAATTTTTATCTACATTATGCAAAATTACTCCATCAAGAATAATTAAAAATGTAAAAAAGAAAATACTAGGTCTAGTAGTTTTGCTAATGTAATGAACGTTGTTGAAGTTTTGCGCCAAAATCAAAATTATAACAATATTATAACATTAGTTTAATTGTCTGAATATTCAGGTTTTGTTTGTTATTCAAAAAAGACAAAAACTCGTTAATGTTACTTGATTGGCTTTATAATTTGGCAGGTTAAAAACTAAATTTGAAAATTATTTTTTAGTTGAGTTTGTTGGCCCACAAATCATTTTGACACTAGCTAACATGAACGTTGAGAACCGTCCGATCATCTGAACAAACCCATCGTATACCTAGCCTTCATTAATTGCAAATAATGCACCTCAACACTTCAAGCTAGCTAAGCCCACAGATGGAAACAAACATGCAAATACAAACATAAATACATCTGTACTCTTCTCAGCTTCTCATCGCCACATACCCTACCTGAAAACTAATATGTGTAAAAAAATTAGGGTTTATCATCCATGCAAAGAAAGACGACAAATGTGTCATGCACCGACCCATCTTCACGTGTCAAACCCGATTTCTCTTCTCTCCACCATAAATTCCCCACACACCCAACTCCCTCTTCACAACAGCCCACACTAGACATCTCTTCCTAGTGTTTGTTTTGTGTTTCCACTTTCCACAATGGCTTCCATTTCTCTGCTCTCTCTCAGCCTCTGTTTCCTTGTTCTGTTTCATGGTTGTTTAGCTGACCACACGCAGCCGTCACAGGAACAGCAGCAACAACACCGGGTCCGGGGAAGAACCCAGTGCAATATCGACCGTCTCAGCGCTCAAGAACCCAACCGCAGGGTCGAGTCAGAGGCGGGAGTGACAGAGTTCTGGGACGAAAACAACGAGCAATTCGAATGTGCCGGAGTGGCCGCGTGTCGCAATAGTATACAACCTAAAGGCCTTCTCTTGCCTCAGTACACCAATGCACCTCTCCTCGTCTATGTTGTCCAAGGCTAGTTAATTTTCTCATTTCTGTCCATGAATTTGTCACTATGTGTTGTGTGATTGCAGTGGTTGATTTTGTTGATCAATATAATGCAGGTAGGGGTGTTCTAGGGACTGCAATTCCAGGTTGTCCCGAAACGTACGAATCAGAACAGCAGTCGTCGGAGGGAGAACACCGGAGGTCTAGAGACCGACACCAGAAGGTCCGACGGTTCAGTGAAGGTGACGTCTTCGCTTTGCCGGCTGGAGTAGCCAATTGGGCTTATAACGATGGTGAGGTGCCGCTTGTTACTGTCTCAATCGCTGACGCCGGCAATGATGCTAACCAACTTGATCAGAACGTCAGAGTAAGTAAGAGAATGTAGTTGGTGTTTTGGAACTGGAATTGGGGTTAAATTAGTTTAAAATTTACTATTTTTTCTTCAATTCCAACTCATCAATTACATACAACCACCGAACATAGCTTAATTGTAACTCTACTCAAACCAAAGCAAGACCTTCATATATATAAATATACCTTTGTTTAATTTTACTATTAATGGTTTAATTATATATGTTTTGCAGAAATTCTTGCTTGCTGGAAATCTAAGACAAGGTACTCAACAACAACAACAAAGGCCTGGTGAGCACGAAAGTCAGGAGAGTCGTGGCCAGAGGGAAAGAGAACAACGACAACGAGAAGAGAGTCGTCCACAGTGGCAGAGAGGCCAAGAAGAAGGTGGCAACATCTTCAATGGTTTCAATCAGCAGATCCTCGCCGATTGTCTAAATGTGGATGATGAGTTGGTGAGAAGGATCCAAGGCAATAATGATCAGAGGGGACGCATCGTCCGAGTCGAGAAAGACCTTCAACTGGTGAGACCTAGATTTGAAGAAGAAGAACGAGAAGGTGAGAGAGACAATGGCATTGAGGAAACTCTCTGCACAATGAGACTTGGACAAAACATAGCCAACCCAAGACGTGCTGACGTGTACAACCCACGTGGCGGACGCGTCACCAGCCTCAACAGTCAGAAGCTACCCATCCTCAGCTACCTCCAACTCAGCGCTGAAAGAGGAGTGCTCTACAGTGTAAGAGAAATTAATTGATTTTACCATCAATACGTACAATATTTATGAAAATTCACAGGATTAGTTATTTTTAATCAATAGGTTACATTTACCATGTGTCTCACGATGATATTATTTTATTCCATTCTAATAGTGACAATTTCATGTGATGTGCAGAATGCTATTATGGCACCACATTGGAACATGAATGCCCACAGTGTCATCTATATCATTCGAGGGAGTGGCCGGATTCAGATTGTCAACCAAGCCGGAAGATCGGCATTCAATGATCGAGTCCGTGAGGGTCAGCTCATCATCGTCCCTCAAAATTTCGCAGTTCTGAAGAAGGCAAGTAATCAAGGTTTGGAATGGGTGTCCTTCAAGACCAACGATAACGCCAAGACTAGCCCGTTGGCCGGAAGGCTCTCGGCTCTGCGCGGCATGCCGGAAGAAGTGCTGATGAACTCATATGATATATCTAGGGAAGATGCTAGGAGCTTGAAGTACAACAGGCAGGAGCTCACAGTGTTTGGACCTGGATCTAGGTCACAGCAGGGGGAATATGCTTAAATGTAGTATAGATTAGTAACATGAAAGTGGTACATTAGGGATTAGATTAAATATATAATAAAGCCCCTAATGCTAGTGGAGACTATGATGCGTGTCTCCTAGTTCTTGTACCTGTATGCGGGAATGTTGTGTTTAATTAAAATGTACGAGATAATAAAATGCAGAAATCTTCCAATTTTAGTGCATTAATTGAGCTCTCTTAGTGTGTTTTGGTTTAATATGCAACCAATCAATTTGAGAGTATCAGTATTCTTCTCGAATTAAAATGTATGTGAGCCATCTGGTAATTATAGATCATATGCTTACCATTGATATACATATATACATCATAGGGAAAATTACACAAATTTTAGTACATATCAACGCCACATAAGATTGATTTATTTAATCAGTAGGGAAATATATACATGCAATCAGTGAATTTCATGTACAGACTTGTTAAGTTCTTTAGAATCAACCTTTCCTAAAAGCCGTGATATGAGCGGCGACGCGAGCCATAATTTCACTTTCCTTGCTACGCTTTTGAAAATAAACAACCATTTTATCTCTAGGTGGTAAGCAGTCTTTGATTACTGGGTGATTGAGAAAATTGTTAATCCATGAAATGGTGGCTGGGAATTTGAGTGGGTCCACAATCTTCATGGCCCCAACTTCCTCCCAGACAGGCAACCAGTGAGGGATCCTTCCCATTGCAAGGTCCAAATACCCAATGTTTTCTCCTCCAAAGAACTTGTTCTCTTTGAGTTTGAGCTCACCTTCTATCTTTTCTAAGGCCTCTATGGATAATTTCACAAACTTTTCTTTCTCCTCTCCATGGGAGCACAGAGCAATCCATGCAGCGACAATAAGCTGTTACAAAAATCCTGAATTAGTATTAATTGTCTTAATACACGAGAAATGAGTAGTTTTCAAAACAAAAAACCATGATAGTGTATTAGACTGAGTAATTGATGTTTGCAATACATAGTTATTAATTGGTTCAATAATAAAAATTCGAATAACATAGAAAGATTCTTGAAAAAAAAAAAAAAAAATCTTATTCGAAAAATATGAAAAGTGTTGGTGATGGTTACCTTCTCTTCACCAAACTTGGCCCAAAAACGTGCCATGGCCTTTTCTAACGGATCTTGAGGCAACAATGGATAGTCTTTCCATGTCTCGTCGATGTACTCGAGAATTACAAGGGAATCGAGGATCACCTTTCCGTCATGAACGAGCACAGGCACTTTGTTATGGACTGGGTTCAATTCAAGAAGCAGAGGACTCTTGTTGTAGATATCTTCTTCAATGTATTCATACTCAACACCCTTCAGTTTCAGAGCCCACTCAACCCTCCGGACAGATGGGCTAACCCATAGTCCCAAAAGCTTCACTTCTTTGCTTCCCATCAGATGGTATAGTTAATCGTGTATAATTAGCTGCTAGTTCTTCTACATCTACATACGCATGTGTGTGTTTGTGGTGTGTGTAAATATATGTCAACACCTTTCAAGACTTTTTAGATAGCAAGTTGCCATTTTTGAAAATTTGTGTGTTGGACCGGACTGGTAGGAAATGTCGCTTCTCAATTGTAGTATGGACTAATGGAGTACTTTTTTGTTTTTTTGGTTTACTTCTCTCGAAAAAGTGGGGTCATAAAATTGAAATTTTGGGCTCTCGCTTACGTCCTTGATGACGCATGCAAAGTGTTGCTGAAGCAGCCTATAAGAAAGGAAACTACCCATGACGTTTTCATTTAAAGCCCCACTAACACAAATATATTTTTAAGTGGACTAGTGTTAGCCCCTTGACGGTTGTCCAAGGGAAGACATGGGCATTTCAAGGCCATGCCATGTCTTAGGAATACGTTGGCTTTGATTAGACAGCCATGAGGGTGCTCAGTGGGTTGTCAGCGTGCACAAGATGCTCAGCGTGCACACAAGATGCTTAAAAGGATGCTCGGCGTGCACTGGGGGTGCCCAGTGGCACTTTCGTAAATATGGCGAAAAGTGAAACTTGGAGTTTTGACTCGGGATCTTTATGGGAGATACCTTGAGTCCATAGAAGCTGGTTGGCGCAGACGGCACTTAATTTGGATGTCGGGAAAGGTCTGAAAGGCCATTATGACTCCTCAAGCATGGGTGATGTTTACTCCTGTCAGAGTGCTGGATTTCCTTAAGACTATATTAGGGGGGGGTCTGTTGAGCGCATCGGTTGGGCTATGGCATGGCTTGCTTAGAGGGCTTAGCCAACGTGCATGGGCACGTGTTGCACCACTCCAAGATGGTTGCACAAGTGGGGAGCATCCAAGATATTGAAGGGCAAATAAGTATGCACCGACACGCGCGCTGGAGTGCAGCGGCGTGCGTGCGGGCGTGCAGGTTGGCGCGCGGGTAGGCGTCCAACCTAGTGTGCGCGAGCGTCTAGCTCGGCGTGCACATGGGCGTCCAGGTGGGTGTGCAGCCACGGGCGCATGAGGGTACAAACATGGCGCGCAAAGAAGGGCACTAGTGTGTGCGCCGGCGTGCACTTTGGTGTGCACCCGAGCGTGCGCACGGGCGTGCATGGCTTGGCACGCCGTGCACTCAGAGACATATATATGTGGGTGCAGATTGGTGGACTTGGGCTAGGTTCACAAGGTTGACTCAGATGTGGCTAGAGCATGGATAACACAAAGTCATGGCTTGCGGTTACAAGAGGTGGTGGCTTAGTGGGCTCGGTTGGTTGGGGGAAGTTACTAGCACTTCCCACTCATCATGGGAAGTGGGGGAGTGCTGAGTAACCTCCCAAACATGTGGCACAATTCTGAGAGGACCAACACACAGGCGGTTAAGGGTGGTTTCCTCCACCATGCAGAATCTAACTTCTTGTGGTTATGTGGCATGAGCAGAACATGCCAACAAGTCTAGCAGTTGGGCTTGTCAACTGCATTATAGTGCTGGCTCATTTAGAGGGTGCCAGCACGACCCTAGGTGGATGGGGGTGTCATCCATCATCTTAGTGGGCAGTTATGGGCGGTTTTGAGAGTGGCCTATATAATGCTAAGGTGGGCTTTGTAGAGGGGACAGAGAAGAGGGTGTGAGCCTTGGTTGTTCCTTGTACGAACTCATGTTCCTTTGTAATATGTTTAATATGAGCAAAGGTTGGGGCTTGTCCCTGTAAATTGTGTGTGTCTTCTTTATATTTCTATATTGTGTGTATTGTGTTGTTGTGTTGGCTGAGACTTGGTGGCCCCAAGTGCCATTGCAGAGGCAAAAATTCGTGGTGTAATTTAGCCCTGTGACAATTGGTATCAGAGCCCGGTTCTACGATGGCTGGAGGTAATACTCGTGAAAGAGTTTCCCATTTGGAAGAGTTCGTGGGTTTTCCTACAGAAACAGAGGTACAAGATGGTGCAGAGAGCCTTGTTGTTCGAATTGAAAACTTGGCTTCTGAATTGGAGATCTTGAAGACTGATCCTGATGGGTTTGGTGACTTCATGCAGGCCACCAAAGAGCAATTGTCCCGTATCTCTGAAGATGTTGAGTCACTGACTGACGTCTTCAAGAAGAACCTGAAAGACCTTGAAGATGAAGTGTCCTTGGTGAAGAGGGCCATTCATGGGAGTTCCAGAGGCGGTGGTGATCCTCTTTCGCAGAAGATCAAGGTGCCGGATCCCAAGTCTTTCAGTGGTACCCGAAATGCCAAAGAGTTGGAGAATTTCCTATGGGACATGGAGCAGTACTTTAAGGCTGCTCGGATCCCTGATGGCGAGAAGGTGACCATTACAAGCATGTATCTGTCTGGTGATGCAAAGCTATGGTGGCGCACACGGACAGAGGACGATGCTTCTGCGGGTAGGCCTCGGATTGAAGTTTGGGAGACCCTCAAGAAGGAATTGAAGGACCAGTTCTTGCCTCAGAACACTGCATGGATTGCAAGGGAATCTCTGAAGAAATTGAAGCACACAGGTACCGTTCGTGACTATGTGAAGGACTTTAGTTCCTTGATGCTGGACATTCGAAATATGTCAGAGGAGGACAAGCTGTTCAATTTCATGTCCGGATTGCAACCATGGGCTCAGGCAGAACTCCGTAGGCAAGGTGTGAGGGACCTTCCTACTGCCATGACAGCGGCAGATTGTCTTGTAGATTTCAAAATGACTGGGTCTACTACACAAGACAAGAAGAAGTCCAAGGAGGGGAAGAAAGACAAAGGCCAGTCCTTCAGGTTCAAGGACAAAAAGAAGGACAAGAATCAAAAGAAGGATAAAGGGGGTGGCTTTGTCAAGGCCAAGGCAGATTACAACAACAAAGGGAGTAGTAGTGGGACTAAGCCCAACTACGGTTGTTTCATCTGCAATGGTCCCCATCGTGTTAGGGACTGTCCCAAGAGGGAGAAGCTGAGTGCTATTGTCGCTGAATCAAAAGGAGACTCAGACTCGGAATCTGGTCCAACCCGAGTTAATCCTCTGCAAATGCTGAATGCTCTTACTGAAGAACAGTCCATGGAGTTGAAAGGGCTCATGTTCATTCAGGTGACACTGAACGGCAAGGAAGTTTTGGCAATGGTGGACACGGGGGCCACTCATAACTTCATTGCGCAGAGGGAAGTAAGTAACTTTAATTTAAAGTTAATTCCACATGCTAATAAGATGAAAGCTGTGAATTCTGAAGCCAAGCCTGTTTTAGGCATGGCCACCACTTCTATGAAAGTTGGTTGTTGGGAGGGCGTAGTTAGTCTTATGGCTGTTCCCTTAGATGATTTTGATCTAATTCTTGGAATTGAGTTCCTTACGAAAGCCAGAGTGGTAGTTGTACCATATTTGGGAGGAGTTTTTATTTGGGACAGGAGTTATCCATGTTTTATTCCATCAGTGGCTCTTTATGGGCACCAAAAGAAGGAAGATCGTAAATATGGTTGCATCGAAATAATCTCTGCATTGCAAGTGAAAACAGGTTTGAAGAGAGGAGACTCTACCTTTCTTGCAGCTATGATAGAGATCAAACCGGACCAGCTTGTTGAAGTTCCGGATTCTGTTGCTGAAATTCTAGAGGAATTTGCAGAAGTGATGCCACCAGAACTACCCAAGCAATTGCCCCCTCGACGTGCTGTTGATCATAAGATAGAGTTGGAGCCGGGTGCAAGGGCTCCTGCTCAGGCCCCATATCGGATGGCGCCTTCAGAACTGGCTGAACTGCGTAGACAGTTGGATGAGTTGCTGGAGTCTGGCTATATTCAACCATCCAAGGCACCGTATGGCGCGCCAGTGTTGTTCCAGAAGAAGCAGGATGGCTCAATGCGGATGTGTGTGGATTATAGGGCTCTGAATAAGGTGACTGTGAAGAACAAGTACCCAGTGCCCAATGCCGCAGACTTATTTGACAGGTTGTCAAGGGCATCCTATTTTACTAAGCTGGATTTACGTGCAGGCTACTGGCAGGTGCGTATAGCAGAAGGAGATGAACCCAAAACTGCATGTGTAACTCGTTATGGGTCTTATGAATTTCTTGTAATGCCGTTTGGGCTAACTAATGCCCCGGCAACCTTCTGTAACTTAATGAATAATGTGTTTTATGACTACATCGATCGCTTTGTTGTTGTTTATTTGGATGACATTGTAGTCTATAGTGAGTCATTGAAAGATCACTTAAAACACTTGAGATTGGTTTTCTCAAAACTGAAGGAGTTTCAGTTATTTGTCAAAAAGGAGAAGTGTGAGTTTTGTCGCCAAGAAGTGATGTTTTTGGGGCATTGGATCAGTAAGGGCCATGTCAGAATGGATGAGAGAAAGGTGAAAGCCATCCTTGATTGGTCTGCACCTACCAAAGTGACAGAGTTGAGATCTTTTCTAGGGTTGGCAAATTACTACAGAAAGTTTATAAAGGGGTATTCCAAGAAGGTTAGTCCTTTAACGGACTTACTGAAGAAAGACAAACAGTGGGTTTGGTCTGAGGAGTGCCAGAATGCTTTTGAGATGCTTAAGCAGGCAGTGTCTACAGAACCGGTCTTGAGACTGCCTGACTTTGGTTTGCCATTTGAAGTGCATACTGATGCCTCTGATAGAGCAATTGGTGGGGTTCTAGTCCAAGAAGGACACCCATGTGCCTTTGAAAGCAGGAAGCTTAAGGATGCTGAACAGAGGTATACAACTCACGAGAAGGAGATGACTGCAGTGATACATTGTCTTGACGCATGGAAGCACTATCTGTTGGGTACTAAGTTTACAGTGGTGACTGACAATGTGGCCAATACCTACTTCAAGACACAGAAAAAGCTTACTCCAAAGCAAGCTCGTTGGCAAGAGTTTCTTGGGGAGTTCAATTTTGTGTGGGTTCACAGACCTGGAAAGCAGAATCAGGTTGCTGATGCCTTGAGTAGGAAAGAAGTGCAGGAGTATGTGGCGTCGTTGACAACGGTGTATACTGATTTCCTTGACAGAATCAAAGAGCAATCTCAGTCCGACAATGCTTATCAGAAACTAAAGCAACAGGTTACTGATGGTGAAGTCAGAAAGTACTGCATTGAAGATAATCTACTCTATGCCAGAGGAGGTAGATTATATGTTCCTGTTGGAGG